TTTTGCTTTTGTATGAACTCTGGAAAACTTTTTGCACTACTTAGATACCTCTGTATCAGCCAACATCAGGAGGGGAAAGCTTATTAAACACATTATTAAAAATAAAAGGTCATGGGGGACCTTGGGTACCAGTGAAAGTGCTTTTAGTTTGAAAATCATTAAGAATAAGAGAAGCAGGGAAGGACTAGGGAGGAAGGTGCTCCAGAAAGATGCATCTTTCTGAAGAGATGGCCAAAGACAAAGCTACTGTTGCTATGGTACTGTTGCTACAGTACTGTTGCCATGGTACACCGGTTAGGCAGGGAGGCCTTGGCCAGGACTCACATCAGAGGGAGATGGTTTTAGAAGTCAGTCTGCAAGATTGCATCTGAGATGCAAAGCATGTAAGGAGTTGTAAATGTTCCGAGCAGTCACTGAGATGCTCCAAGGGCAACCACTGTCACTGAACTTGCCGTCATTGAGTTCTGTCAAATCCTTGCCTTAGTTCATAAGAAAACTCTGGCTCGGAAGATAAAGTGGCCTACACTGTATCCCAGGGATAACTCTTGGCAATATGCGGCTGGAATTCATGTTTCAATTTCCTGGTTTATTTTGAGAAAATTCTCCATTTATTTTTGTTTCTGTTTCACCAAGAAACTCTCTCGGCTTCAATGCCCTTTCTCTGGTGGTATAGGTCTCTAGGTAATCCATTTCTCCGCTATCAGGTACTAGCAGCATGGCTCTGAGCCCTGAACAAAGCTCCCATTTCTATATCTGGACAGTAAATAGTAATAGTTCAGTAGCCCCACGGAGTCGAGGACCGTGGAGAGGGTTAAATGAGACAATCCTCTTAGTTTTTAGTGGGATAAAGATGATATCTTACTGTGTAGCCGAGGCTACCTTTAAACTCATGATCTTCCTCCCTCTATTTCCTGAGTACTGAAAGGCTTGTACTCTGTGCCCAGAGAGCATCTCCCTTATAGAGAGCTTAACAGAGGCTGGGCTGTGGTAAGCTACGCTCGTAGTTAGGGACTGTCAGCCCTGTCACCAGCTGCATTTATCCAAATTCCTATAAATGTGGCTCACCGGGCTATAGGAAAATATGATTAGCTGGCATTTTAAGTAACTTCTAAGGTTCTGACTGTCTCCACACCTAGCTAACTGTGAGATAAAGTCAGCCCTAAACTTTAGCATCGTCATCTGAAAAACCAAGATGGCCGAGTGTATTTGGTGAGGGGGCAGATGAGAGAATGTGGGAAGACTTGGCAGTATGGAGTTTATCAAGCCATTCATTTCAAAAAAGCATTCCACAATGGCCCTGTTCGGAACATCCTGCATTTTTGAATAGTCCACAGAATCATCAGATGACCTAGACGTGACTATTTATGATCAGGAGTTGAACTCTGCAAGAGACCTCTTTCTGTTTTCTTCACCCTTGCCACTTCCTCACCTCTAATAAAATCGGAGTTAGCCTGGACAGCTGCTGGGATTCTAGAGGGTCAGTCTTCAATGCGGGGGGTGGGATGTCTCAGTTTTGGATGAGCAGGCTGGATTTTCGCTGTGCCTTTTCTGGTACACAGTCACTCTGGAAGAGCCCATCACTATTGATTGACAGCCGAGGAGTCAGACATGACGTGGTCCAAGCATTGCTGAGAATAGCCCTGACTTATTCCTGGAATGTTTCATCAGCCTGCACTTTCCTTTTTCTGCCTCTTAAAACTTCATAGACAGGAAGACAGTGTCTGAGTTGACCAGGAAGTTTCTCAGTACGGTGGGGTTAATCCTGGAAGCTAGACCACATTTCCCGGTTGTTCTCATGACTGGTCAGCTCCCACAACAGGTACCTTACAGGAGACTGTCCAGTACTTTAATTCCTTAAGAGAAGGATCGGGAATGATAGCAGATGGTTTTCTTTTTTTCTCTGGGTCTTTTAGTATTTGGACTTTGCTCCAGGAATGTGAGAAGCGATATGTCTTTCTAGGGGCATGCCAGCTTAAGGCCCCTGTGACCACGCATGGCCTTGAATGTAGGAGGCAGCTCCAGATCTCAGCTAGACCAGCGTGGATATTTTTCTCATTAACTAAGTTGCAAAGCCAGTTCTGGTTTCCGCATAGGTGAGCACGTCTGTGAGCTGGAGGACAGATACGTTAAGATCAGGGGCAAGGCAGGGAGGAATTTCAGCTTCACGCTTCTTCCCTGACGAAGCAGAAGCCTCAGTAGCTTAAGCGACCTTCTGCTGGCACTGGGTTCCCTTTGACCAAGCCCCTGTCACACTAGTTGCCAGTTATTTAGAATATTGCTTCCCCTTCTGAGTCCTGATTTCCTCCTTTCTTCCAAACAATGCCCCATCTTTGCAGTGTAGCTGACAACTGTGCCTCATTCCAGAGAATATTCATAGGATAGGGTCCTGTCTGTATCTCTTCACACACACACACACACACACACACACACACACACACACACACACACCACACAAATGAGTTAAATCATGTACTGTTGTGTTTTTCCCCAAATGTCTCAACAGACAGAAGAATGTCTACCAAGAATAGTCTCAAAGGAGGCTAGAGGCAGAGAGATGGGACTGTGTTGGCCACTGACCTATGCCAGTGCATCCGTGGCGACAGTTTAGGGACTTTATAATTCCTCATGACTCTAACCCAAATGAACAGAAAGGTTCACTGGAGCATATGGATAGTACAGATCTGAGGTTTGCTCTGGTGTCCTGGTGTCTGAGTTCCTCCCTAGACTCTCTTTCTCGTCTCTTATTTCTCACACCCTTGATTAATTAATTGCCTCACTGTGGTGCCGACCAGTATACAGTGTACTCTGTTGGGACCTAAGAAGATCGATTTGCCTTCTGAGTGAGTATCCTTTGGAGATATAAGATGGACTTATTCATCTTAGCCATAGCTGCTGTCAGCAGCCTTCATCAGCCTATGCCTACATCAAACACGTACATAAAGACCAATTAATGTGTCACTCTGGTTTCCTGCAGCAGATGCATCTGGCCTGTGGCATCTATCCCCATAACTGAAATTGCAAAGCATTGCCCTAAAATCACTGAGCCAAAGAATTTTAAAAACGCATTGATTGCCAGATGTGCAGACTGAAACGTTTCACAGAGCCGAGCCTTTCCCTTTCTCACCGGGGAGGAGGAAAAGGCAGTTGGCTCTTGACGACTGACATACAGTTCTTCCTGACAGGTGCTTCTTGGCCCTCATAGTGTGGCATCCTGATCCCGAGCCTCCGGTGCTCTCTGCAGCTCCCTCATGGCTGCCCTCTGCCCTTCACTGATCATTGGCCTGATAACCATTGTCATATTCGCCGTGCTTAGATGTTTCCAAATTCTTTTCTCAGGCGCTCTTCCTGGCTTTAAATCTCAGTTGCGTCTCAGGAAATTCTGAGAGAATTAAGGGAGGAAGTATTATGACCCCTACTTTGCAGGTGAAGTATTGGGATCAAAACTCATAGAAGATTTAATCAAGGATACAGGTCACAATAAAGCCCCTAATCCTAGACCCTAATCCAGATCTCCCATCTCAATCAGTGACTCTTTTCACTGCCACGCTTCATGTGAGAGGGCCAGGCAGTGGCTCAGTGGACAATGTACCTGCTGTATTACCATGTCGTTCAGTCCCAAGCAGCCACATTGAAGCCCAGTACAGTCTTGAGCATCCGCAATCTCAGTACTGCGGAGGTAGACAGGCAGGTCCTCGGCCTTGACGGCCAGCCAGTTGAGTCAGCCAATGAGCTCTAGGTTCAGTTAAAGACCTGCCTCAAAACAGGGTGGAGCACTCCAGAGGAAAATTCCCAGCATTGACTTCTGGCCTCCTCACGTGCACACATAGGCTAGCCAACCTGTGCACATACTGGCAATCACACAAAGACAGAAAAGAAGCGATCTATACCAACTCATTTTTCTTGGTTCCTGAATGTACTTGATTTGAGTGTATTGTTCTGATTTTCAAATACAAGAATGATTAATTCAGTTATAGTAAGGCTTCTGTATACATAACCAGTATTATATAAAGAGAGTTTAAAAGTTAGTTTGTCTCATAGGATACTTTATGGCATTAATATCATATTTGTACCATGACATAGTGCTATAAAGTAAAACTGATATTTTTAAAACTAAATACTAACAAGGTTTAGTCAATTAATATGGTCAAAGGGTCAACTGAACGGATTGCTTACAGAATTAAAACAACAACAACAACAACAAAAAGGTTAAAATAGACTAGGGTAGACATGAGAATATCCAAGTGCAGCAAGTGTAGCAAACGTGGGGCAAGTTCTCTGAATGGTGCAATCTGTATAGTGGCTTACAATAAAGAGATTTCCCATCTCTCTGTGCCTATCTATGTATGCAGGGTGTGCACATGCCTTGCTGCATGCGTGGAGACTGGAGGACAACTCAAGTGTCCAGCCTTCCCTTGTTTGAGGCAGGGTCTCTTTAACGTTCTCTATTGTGTACACCAGGCTAGCTGGCTAGGAGCTTCCGGGGACTGTTCATTTCATTTCACATCTGTCCACAGCAGCACTGGGTTTATAGATGGGGCCACCTTGCCTGGCTTTCCCTGAGTGCTGGGGGTGCAAAATCCCGCTCTTGTGTTTGTGCAGCATGCACTTGGAGCACCGCACCATCTCCCAGGCCTAGTAGAATCTCTTACTAAACTGCCCATCTCTTTTTCTTGTTTTCTTTCTTCAGCCTCATTTTCTCCTCCCTTTCATTCATCCCACCTTTCTTCATGAGTGCAGGAACTGAACCCCCAAACCTGCTTCCTTTGTTTTACTTACCTGCATTAACACCCCTAAACACCCTCCCCTCCTCAGCCTTCCTGACCTGTTTATATCCCCACTGAGACAATGCTTGTTTCTTAGTTTGATCATCCATGCCCTTCCCTTCCCTTCCCTTCTATGAAAAAGTCCTGTGGTGTGGCTTTCAAGACGGGGGTTAGCAATTCTTTCCTTGTTTCATAAATCAACCGCCATGTCTCTAAGGACTCATATTTCCATTTCAGGCAAAACAACTCGAATCTGAAGAAATGAAATTGCCAAGGACAGTCTCGTTCTGCTTTGTGCTAATTGTGACGTGTTCTTCAGAAGCGACGTTGAGCGAGAGCATTCAGTCCATGGCTCGGCCCTTGGTGAGTCAGTCCTCATCCACAGTGATTTCTCTATCCCCGTCCTTTGATTTCCTGGGAAGGTGGAAATCAGCAACCAGTTCTTTTAAAAAGCGGTGTAGGAGGGGAGTTTGAGGTTTTCTGTACAGGAACGTAGCTAGTCCTTGGTGTATTTACTGGGCTACAACTTTCTGCAGTCTGAAGTCAGTGCTAGTGTCAGGAGATTGCTCAGCCTAGCCTTCTCCACTCCCCACAGTGGCTTTGTTTTTTTGTTTTTTTTTTTTGTTTTTTTTTTTGGTTTTTCGAGACAGGGTTTCTCTGTGGTTTTGGAGCCTGTCCTGGAACTAGCTCTTGTAGACCAGACTGGTCTCGAACTCACAGAGATCCACCTGCCTCTGCCTCCCAAGTGCTGGGATTAAAGGTGTGTGCCACCACCGCCCTGCCACAGTGGGCTTTGTGCATTCAAGGAAAGCTATAAATACAGATCAATCCGAAATTGTGAATTTGCTTAAAACAGTCCAATTTAAAAACCATGCAACTCGATTGCATGGTTCTTGGTGGTAAACTCTGTAGGTGACGATGTCACGTTGCCATCTCTGAGAGTCTGGAGACGCTAGGCTGAGGCATCACAATGAGGCTGGCAGTGATGAAGCAGATTTGAAAAGCTGAGGATTTTACCTGAGCATCAGACTGCAGCACAGTTCTAAAGCCTTTAGTCTCTGTGTATCACAGCAAACGATGAGTGTGGCCAAAGGACCATGGGTAGTGCTAAGACTTTTCCCCAGGATTGATGCAGGTTGTTTGTCTTTGGAAGGTGGGGAGGCATTCATCTAAGTAAAGGAGGGATGGGTAGATTACTCCATGTGGGATTCTTTATCCCACTTCTTATGCTAGAGGCAAGGCCCATTGCTGATGGGGAGGTGAGACACGCAATTCCACATCTTCTTCTCTTCATGTACAGAATCATGCTAATAGTAGTACCAATTTCCTATGATTGTTATGGGAGTTAAATTAGTTTACCTTTATAACAGGCATAAGAATATTCTGTTTTAGTCTGGGTATCATTATCATTGAAATTTTAATAATTCCCAGGTAAGTAAAAACTTGTCTTTGACGTTTTCTTCTTGTATTGAACTTAATTTGAGGAGATTGGTATTTGGTACAGGGAACGTAATTTATTCACAGTGTGTTTTGAATCTTCGATCTTGGTTTCAGCATTTCCTTTCATCACAGTGTTTATTGGCTTTCTTGATAACTTTCTTGAGGCTGTAACAATTACCTGACATAGACAAGATGAAGACGAAGTGTTGAAATAAGAGCGGCGGGGCTGCGTCCCCAGCACCCCGGCGGCCTGCTAGCTCAATTACCTGACATAGACAAGATGAAGACGAAGTGTTGAAATAAGAGCGGCGGGGCTGCGTCCCCAGCACCCCGGAGGCCTGCTAGCTCATGCCCGAAATAACAACACACAAACTGTATTCATTTAAGAACTGCTTGGCCCATTTCTATCTAGCCTCTTCTAGGCTAATTCTCGCACCTGGACTAGCCCATTTCTAATAATTGTTTGTAAGCACCCCAAGGTGCGTTTACCGGGAAGATTCTAGCCTATGTCCATCCTGGGTTCGAGCTGCCTGGGAGAGCGGAGCCTGGCGTCTCTGCTCCAGAGAGCAGAGCTGTCGATTCTACCCGGGAGAGCTGAGCATGGCGTCTCTGTCTGAGGCGTCTGACTCTGAAAGGAGCTGCATTACTTCTGACCTCACTTCTTCTTCCTACCAGCATTCTATTCTGTTTACTCCTCCCACCTATGCTTTAACCTATCAGCCAAGCAGTTTCTTTATTGCTCAATGACCTTCCTCCATCAACGAAGGCTTTTGTGTTGGCTCGCAGCTCTAGAGACTTTACTTGGTGGTGGAATGGCACAGCAGACCACAGAATGTGCACCACAGCAACGTTACACCGAGGAAAGAGAATGCTGGTGTCTGACTGTTTTTCTTCTTTCCCCTTCCTGCCCATTCCCACTGCCCCCTAGCATGGGGGTGATGCCAGCCACACCAGGGTGGGTCTGTTTTCAGGCAAGCCTCTCTGGAAATGCCTCTGTGGAGGCCCCCAGAGGTGTACCTTAGTCTCCTAGGGTGATCCTTGGTCTAGGAAGTTGACAATGAAGAGCCATTATCTTGATGATTTTATATGCTTGCTTCCTTTCCTCATTTTAGGGTCTTTGTTTTGGTCTATGTTTTCTTTGTCTTTTTCATCTTTCTCTTTCTCATGACTTGAGGGATGCACATATGGCTCTTCTCCCAAGCCCCAGTTTGTGGGGTGCCACCTAGGCAGGATATGATCCAGCCTTTGTGGGGTGCAGCAAAGGTGGGAGGTGAGCCAGGTTTTGTGGGGTATAACCAAGGCAGGAGATGAGACAGCCCACTCATTAATTGAGGAGGGAACATTTGTGCCTATACAGCACTGGTTCCTCAGAAGATGTGGTGTCTCAAGTGAGAACTTGAGATGATTCCCACATTAAGGTTAGCCTAAACTCTCTTTCAGAAGTGACCCCAATGATCACGCTCACAGTGACAAGCTGTGCATGTCTGGCCCTGGCATCGCATGTGGATTGAAGTCCTGCTCCGATCCACATAACTTTTAGAGAGTTCGTTAATTTTCCTTGTATCTTTGACCCCACATCCTCTGTATAAGATGAGAATAAACAGTATCCCCTTCTCTGGCTTGTAAGGCTGAGACATATGCACCTTTGCTAGTTCGGAGGCCAAGGGCTTCTGAATTGGTCCTTGGAGTTGGTGGGTGTTGCTAGCCTTCTCTGAGGAATCTTGGTAAGGTAGATTCAAGTTACTCAACTTGGAAGCAAGGGTAAGACTGGCATTCTAGGCTAGCGAAGGGAGTGAGTGTCTTGCTCTGGTGATAGGGTCTGAGAAGTGGGGTACCTGGAGTTTTGTGAACATCTTGTTTGCCTTCTTCAGATTTTTTTATTCTTACTTTTCAAGCTGGGCAGGAATGAGAAGCCAGGTTTGGTCCCCAGCATCCGTGTGTAAAAGCCAGAGCTTGTAGCAGTGCATGCTGGTCATTGCACCCTGGGGAAGGGTGGACAGGAGGATCCCTGTCACTTGCCTTCAGCTGGTCTAGCCAAAGTGATGAGCCTCAGGAAAAACAGAGAAATCCTATATCAAAAATGAAGGTATAGAGTAACTGAGGAAGGCATCCAAAGTTAACCTCTGGCACACCACCTCTGGTGTGTGGTGCATGCAGACACACACACATGCACACATACAAACACACGCACACACACACAGGTACACGCACATGTGCACACACACACACTCACATTCACCCACACATACACACAAGTACACGCGCACACACACACACACACACACACACACACAAGGCACCACCTCTCATTCCTGACTGATTACCTTCTCCAGGCCTCCCAACTTCCTCAAGAATTATTTAGAAAGTCATCTTGTATGAAAGGTGGGGCTCTTCCTGGAATTGGTGGCCTGGTCTCTTCCAGCTGAAGCTCTGCCATCAGGAAATCCCCAGTGGACACACTTGTGGCTCAGAGCCTGGTCTGCAGGTCTATGCTCTGCATAGAGAATGGAGACAGCTCCAAGGGGGAGCTGTTGTGTCTAACCTGACAACAACCCGAGCTGTGTGATCCTCTGATCCAAGGGGGACTATATTGTTTAACCTGACAACAATCCAGAGCTGGGTGATCCTCTGATCCAAGGCAGGGTGGGGTGGGGTGGGAGGTGGGAGTTGTCTAACCTGACAACAGCTGAGTTGTGTGATCCTCTGATCCAAGGTGGGGGGGGACGGGGAGGGGGAAGTTGTCTAACCTGACAACAGCCTGAGTTGTGTGATCCTCTGATCCAAGGAGGAGCTGTGCTGTCTAACCTGACAACAGCCTGAGTTGTGTGATCCTCTGATCCAAGGAGGAGCTGTGTTGTCTAACCTGACAACAACCCGGAGCTGTGTGATCCTCTGGACCAATTTTCTCTCCTTAGTTATTCCAGCCAGATAGCAAAATTGAGTAGAAAACTCAATCATTAAAGTCTCTCAGTTAGCCAACTAGAACCTTCTGAGGACTCAGGATGGCAAGGATGGTTCCAGGGAGCCCAGGGCAGCAGGACACATGAGCGCATGTGTCACCACTGTCACAGGCCATATCAGGCACCTCATAGACCTCTGCACAGGCTATCATTTCGAATGTAGGAATGAGAACTTAGAAAGTGGATGGTTTTTCCAGCTAATAGTATGAGGGAGCAGTGGGAGTCAGCTTGTGATGTGACTTTAGCTTTTGGCTATTCAAATCAAGGTCCTAGCACCTAACAGCCCAGTTCTATGCAGTGCTGTACAGCAGAGTGGGTGGGGACAAGATGTGAGAACAATACCTTACTAAGATGTGTTCAGAAAGTTCTAGATGGTTACTGTGAAGAGTTAAGAAAGTTGTGATTCCTTAAAGACACCTTCACACATGGGAGGTACTGGCCACCAAGGCCCTGGACCTAGAGTTGTGCCCAGTCAGACTACAAAAGCTTGAGATCCTCTGCATTAGAAGTAAAATGCACCTTGATGTTTTAACATACCTCAAGCAGTAATGATTTAGGAGCCCCACCAGGAAGCAGGAAGCATGAAGCCTTGACCCAGGGGAGCTACCCAAAGGTGGCCCTTTGAGACTGCCTCCTTTTATTTGTCTGAGTCCTGTAAACACGTCTCGGGACTCAGATAGGTGTCTAACCTCGCCCCAGCCCCCACGGAGGATGGAAACGGGACTGCAGGGTAGACCCTTTCTTCTGCCTGGGCACAGGGCCAAGCCAGCAGCAGGGGAAACTGTCCGGAACCACCCTATACATTGCCCCTGTGACTTCAGTTCCTGCGCACTTACATTCCTCTGCAACAACCTCACTTCAGAGGAAGCAGCAGTTGGGCTTTTGAAATTCCAGTCACTATCCATCATGTCTGTTTCATCAAGAACGTTTGTGAACTCTCAGGTGCACGTTCCCTCCGCAGCCCCAGTTCCTACACATTGTAATGTTCCCAGCCAGTGTTTCTTACGGACTTCAAGGTGGGGAACACACAAAGCAGTTGATAATTTCCCAGAATTGTAGCTTAGAAAGGGGAGAGAGACCGGCCATGAAAACTGTTTCTCAAGAATAAAAAAGGAAGCAGGGAGAGGTGGTGCACACATCTTTAATCCCAGGGCTCGTAGACGAGACAGGCAGATGTCTACGTTAGAGGCCATTGTGGTCTACAGAGTGAGTTCCAGCACAGCTAGGGGTACACAGAGAAACACTGTCTGGAGAAAACTAAAAATAAAAAAAGAAGAAAGAAAAGGAGAAGGGGAGAAAGAGGAGGAAGAGACATTAGGGCAGGGAGAGATGACAAGGGAAGACAGGCTCCCTGAGAGGAGCCCTGTGTGTCTCTCAGTGTGTCTCCTAAGTCCACCGGAGTCAGGCTAGCTAAATTCAGATTCTAGGTCCGGAAACACAGTGATCTTAGGCAACATATTTGATCTCCTGTACCTATGCTTCGTTATCAGTGAGATGTGGATAGTCATAGCTCCCTGGATTGTCCTGCTGTAGAGTGTTTGATGCATCTTAGGAATTTTGTTAGTGTTGAGTGACAGCAAGTGAACTAGACAGTCACAGCAGGTCACCCAGTCGATGCGGACATGCTTAACATTGTATGGTGTTCAGAGGTGTCTGGGCGATCATAGGAAAGGACACTCCCTGTGTGCAGGCTCCATCTGGGAAAACATCAAAGAAATGAAGCTTGTTTGCTGAGTCTCGTGGGGAGCTTGCTTTGTGTGATATCCCAGGAGTCTCCCTGCAGGCAGGAAGCAATGGGAAAGAGAAAAGCCATGTTAGGTCAAGGCAAGGTGAAAGCTTGGTTACTAGCTACTGAGTGGAAACCGATCCCATCCACAAAACGGACTATTCACTACAGATGGGTGGTGGAAAGGGCAGACTTGAGAAGAATCAGGTAGCACTGTACAGAAAGGCGAGAAGTATCCCAAAACAGTGTGGCATCTGATTCTAGACAGTGCTTACGTGCTACCAAAGCTTTCTCTTCTATATGCATAGTAACCATTTGACCTTTGCAATGACCTACATTTATCCCCATGGTCCTGATAGAGAGAGCCATAGAGGCTCAATAACTTGTTTGAGGCCACACCGCTATCTGATGGTGGAACTCAGACTGGAGCTTAGCGTCAGTGGAGTCTTTGTTTTGGGGGGAGGGGCATGTGCACGAGTGTGTACATGGGACTGCGTGTGTGGAGGCCAGAGGATGATGTTTGGTGCCCTGCTCAGTCACTCTCTGTCTTATTCTCTTGAGAGAGAAGCTCTCGCCGAACTTCTTGATGAAAAGCTAGCCTGGGAACCAGCAAATCCCAGCTTTCCTCCTCTCTCTGCTCCCCTCTCAACTGGGATTGTAAATGTGTGAGGTCATGCCCAACTTTTTACTGGGGTTCTGGTATTTGAACTCAGGTCGTCATGCTTGCACACTTGCATGCTTGCACGTTTGCACGCTTGCACAGCAAGTTCTTCTATCCATTGTTCTGGTTTGTTTCCAAAAGCCACTTGTAGAGGAGCGGGTTTATTTCATCTTACAGCTTACAGTCCACCATCCAGAAAAGCCATGGAAGAAACTTAAAGTAGAAACTGAAGCCGTGAGGAACACCGCTTCCTGCCTTGCTCCCTCTGCTTGCTCTCTCAGCTTCTTTTCTTATATAGCACAGACTGACTGCCTAGGGATGGTCCCGCCCATAGTGGGCTCAGACCTCCTACATCAACCAGCAATCATCATGCCCATAGGCCTCAACTGATGGAGAAATACCAAGAGCGGTCCCTGTCCAAGTCTTTTCTTTTAACCACTGTACATCATAATAACTCAAATTTGCTTAGAACTCACCCCCATACCATTTTGGGCTTCACTTAAGCCTGTAACTGTCCTATGATATTGACACTGTCCTTATTCCCATTCACAGAAAAGGAAAGTGATTATCAGTAGCTTCCTTACAGCAGCAAAGCTAGAAAGAGGCCTTGGCACATATCCACACAGTCTGACCACAGAAGCCATCTGGAGTCTAGGAGGACAAGGCCTCAGAGGGGACTGTCATGACTAAGCAGGCAGTGGTTAAGCAACCTGAACAACAGTAGAAATACTGCAGCCAGCCAAGCAGAATGCTGGGAAAAGGTGGGGAGGTGGACTCAGGTTACTGACCACTGGCCCAACTCAGGGCTAATGTCTCAGGTAGAGAGCACAGATCAGAGGAGTCTGGTGTCTGTTTCCAGACAGGGCTCACAGACCAGAGATGCCAAGAGGCTCAGAAGCGGTGAGTTCTTCTGCTGCTGGATCTATGGTCTGGTGTATACAAACACATACCTGTGTGCTTACCCCAGATCTGCACCTGTGCTCAGGTGTGATGGTTTGCGGCCTGTAAGTGGGAAGCCAAGGGGAAAGAGTTTCCCAGTATCCACTAACATGTTTCAAATTGTTCTTCCAGATTCTCCATGAACATGACCTAGTTGGAGAAGAGGCAGTGAGGCAGAAACGAGCAGGTTTGTGTTGCTTCTTGCGTGGAGTCCTTTATAAACCGACCAAATGGCATTTGCTGTAGCTCTACAATTGATCCTCCCTGTCTCTCATACAGGGTATGGGCCTGATGTCACCAGGCAAACACACTATCTCCATCCCTTTTGTTATGTGTTTGTTTGTTTGTTTAATGCATGTATGCATGCGTGTGTACGTGTAGGTTAGAGGTGCCGGCCATCAGGAGCTATCCACCTTATTTGTTGAAACAGTGTTTCTTACTGGTCAGGAAGCACTCCACCCCAGCCCCAGCAGGCTAGGCTGGCTGGCCAGCCAGAGCCCCAGAGGTCCACCTGATTTTCCCCCTAGAGCACTAGGGCAGCAGTGTGTGATAGCACCATGTCCAGGTTTGTAAACGTGGGTCCCGGGGATGGAACTCATTCTAAGGGAAGTACTTTACTTCCAACTGTTTTAGTCCAAGTTCTATCACTGTGAAGAAACACCATAACCACTGCAACTCTTATAAAGGAAAAGGATTGATTGGGGCTGACTTATATTTTAGAGGTTTACTCCATTGTCAACATGGCAAGAAACATGGTGTCACACAGGCAGACCAGAGGCTGGAGAATATCTGAGCATTCTATGGCCAGATCCGCAGGCAGCATGCAGAAAGAGACTTGGGGCCTGGCTTAAGCGTCTGACAACTCAAAGCTCACCCCCAGTGACAAACTTCCTCCAACAAGGCCACACTTCTTAATAGTGCCATATTCTATAGGCCCATGGGGGCCTTTTGCACTCAAACCTCCACACCAACGTTTGTGTGTGTTTGTTTGTAATTTATAGAGAGATTCTTGCTAAATTGCCCATGTTGGTCTGGAACTTGGGATCCTCCTGCCTCAACCTTCTAAGTGGCTGGGATTCCAGGCCTCCAAATTAGACTATGGGGCAACTTTTTAAAAACATTGTGTTCTTTATGATTCAGTCTCCCAGGAACTCAGGGGAACAGTCTTTTTCGTTTGCTAAAAGTAACTGTAAGGAACCCCATTTTCAACTTTCTCAACCGGTGTTAAGTGGCCACAGAGACACCTTGCCACCCCTTTCTTCCCATGACCACCCCCTCAGCCTCTTGTCACTCTCCCCAGTTGCCCTCCAGTGCCACCTCCCTCCACAGCTCCATCTCACCTTGTTTTAAACCCACCTGCCCCACTTCCCTACCCTCATTTGTCTTTCTCTTTCCTCTCTCCCATCTCCTTCTCACTCTCTTCTTCATTTCTCCTGCAGTTTTTCCTCACTTCATTCTCCCAGTGGACTCTGATGTCCCCTCTACTTCCTCCCCTGAAGCCAGCCTCTAGCTGTTGCATTTGTAATCAAGCACAATGTCTCCCTCATCCCCTCACCCCTGTGGTTTCCCCTGGGACAGGCACTGAGTCAGAGCTGTGTCCATTTGTACTGTGGAAGGCTTTCATGGTTCGAAATGGAGCCAGGCGTGGAGGAGTCCCAACTCTGGGTTTCTACCAAGGTCTGCCAGGGCTCCAGCCCCCAGCTCTCCCAGGAGCAGCTGGTCTCCCAGCTCTTCTGAGCCTGGCTGTCTGTCACTCCTGTGAGCCACACAAGGAGGTAGTTCCGGGGCAGGAAATACTCGCACATCTAGGGATTTGAACATTCCAAAATTTTTCCAGGCATGTTTTCACTCAAAACAATCGTGACAGTGATAAGTCACCATGAACACATGTTTTCCGTTTATTATCCACGGTGCCCTGTGTTCTCGGGCCCCTAGCGTCATTGAGAGTGTTAAAGAATCAACCCGTCCTCCGCAGATGATGGATTTGCCTTGGTACTTTTACAGAACCACCAAAGTAAGAAATAATCATAGAAAGTTCAGGTTCTGGGCCTCGACAGTAGAACTGTAAGTTGTGATGAGAATGGGAGTCTCTGGCTGAGTGAACGAAGCAGGTGGTGGGAGCTTTACAGGCGGCCGTACCCAGCGGCTGCCTGAGCCTGGCCTGCTGTGATCTTCGAGTGAGGAGTTCGGGTGGGTGTTAGATTGTCAGGACGGCAAACCTGTTCTGGTACATGTGTGCCTCCCTTGCTGAGGCCATGAGAGCAGAAGGTATGAAGGTTCTAGAAGAAATAAACATGGCAATGGAGTTTCCATCTGCATCACTGGACCACATCTTTAAAACTTTGCATAAAAATCATCTTTCATACACACACACACACATATATATATATATGTGATATATATATATATCACATTCATGCCTCCCTCCTCAATGCATCATTAAAGGCTGAATCAATATTTATATTTATTCTCAGGACATTACAGAGGTCTACATATGTGACAAGTCAGATGCCCAGGCTCATTGTCCTCCTGAGATGTGTATTTGTGTGTACATGTATGTGTACATATCACACATCACATGCATGTATCCATCATATACTTTATACATGGATCAGAGTTATTATATTTCAAGGGCTTTAAGATGATTGAAGAACTGGTAAGACGTGGAGCTAATGAGACAGCTCAGTTGGTAAAGTGTCACCACACAGTCATGTGACCTTAGTTTGAGCCCCAGCATCCATATAGAAAGCCAGGTTGACTGGGGCTCATTTGGAATCCCAGCACTGGAGGATCCTTGGGATTCACCAGCCTGCCAGCCTAGCTGGGTAAATCCCAGGTCCCTGTGAGAGACATTGTCTCTGTAAACAAAGTGGACAGAATCCCAAGGAATGACACCCAAGGCTGACCTCTGGCTTCCATATGTACACACACACATACATACATAAACATGCTTATATACATACTCATACATGCAGAACACACACATACATGAACATACTCACACATACACATATATGCATGAACACATACATGAACATGCTCACATCCACATGTACATACATATATGACATGCTCACATTCGCACAGTACATACATGAACACATACATGAACATGCTCACATACATACACAAACACACACACACACAAAATCCTCTGTTTGAAGGGACCTGATGTGCCCCCAGCACAGAAAGTGCGCTCAGTTTGCACCAGTCCCAAAGGATGGCCCGAAGGCATGAGTGTGATGCCATGACACACTGGCTGGCATTTTAGGAAAACGCTTTCCATGCAGTTGGTGAGGAGTCTGCACAGAACCTAAGAACAGAGGCAAGAATATGGTTGGGGCTCCTTGAGAGAGTAAAGTGTGGCTTAAGAGAGAAAGAGGGGCAAGAATGGGTGAAAGCACACAAGATTGTGTCACTATCACATCAGGAAGTAGGGTCCAGGACAACCGGAGGCTGACATCAAGAAATGACGGATGAAAAAAAAAAAAAAAGAAATGACGGATGAAAACTCCCGACAGGGTCATTGATCCAGGTGGTCTTTGCTGAATTATTAGATAAAGCAATCAGCTGACTGGTGGGAACCGGAAGGGCAGGGAGGTAGGAACCCGCATGCATGGAGCTGCTGGGCATGGCAGCGTCCTCACATCTTCCATCCAGAGTAAAGTCCTTACTGGAGTGGGTAGGTCTCTGGCTGCCTGTGAGGAAATCCTGACTTTTTATAGTCTTGACAGGTTGGGTGCATGGGCCCTTTGTGACCTGGGATCAGAACCTAGTGAGACTTCTGAGTCTGTAGCACGGAGCCCGGGGGCTCAGAGCTGCACTCTGGGAGAATGTGCTGTGTGCTGAGTAGATTGGTGATGGGGTGAGAGGAAGGGCTGGGTTCTCTCTGCCTGATGTGGGGGGCTGATGTAGGGCATGGTTCAGTTTTGGACTCAGCATCGACTATCAATTGTGTTCTGACTTTGGTTTTCATGTTTTTGTTTTCTTTTGGAAAATTCTGAGGTTTTTTTGACCATTTAAAGGGTCAGATATGGCCAAATTAAGGTGAATTTTGTTTTTACTACTGATACATATCATTATGTGTGTGTGTATGTGTGTGTGCGTGTGTGTGCGCATGTGTGTATGTGTGTATGCATGTGTGTGTGCGTGTGTGTGCGCACATGTGTATGTGTGTATGTATGTGTGTGTTTGCATGTGTGTATGTGTGCGCGTGCATGTGTGCATGTGTATATGTGTGTGCATGTGTGTGCGCATGTGTGTATGTATGGCTTTGTGTGCGTGTACGTGTGTGTGCGTGTGTGTGTGTAAAATCATCAGCAGTGAAGAATCACTGCCCCGCCACACGAGCTCCCTTCTCCTGGACGAGGATGGCAGGTGTCCTTTTGCAGGCAGGAGATTCATTCATGCATCTACTTAAGTGCTGTTGCTGAGAAGCCTTAGTTCCCATCAGTTGCTAGGCAAAAATAGTATTGTTTGCTTAAACAGATGCGATTAAGACCCAGCAGTGCTTGTGGCAGTTGGTGGCCAACTTTCCAGAAATGTCTCTTTAAGATAAGTGCTTCGCGGCTGGCAGTGACTTGTGGGAAAGGAGAGGGGAAATCCTGGTTAGTTAGTGTCTCCCGGGCCAGCGGATGGGCATCGTCTGACACCAGTGACACCTGGAATGTGTTACCTTCCACTCGGGGCAGTGTGAGCCAGAAAAAGGCAGACAAACAACACAAAGGGTGAAGGAGATGGAGACAAAGAAAATATAGGGAACTGTCAGGAGGCAGCTTGTTCAGATGGCAGAGAAGGGTGAGGGTCATCAAAGATACACACACGGAAGGAGGGGGGCTGTAGTCTGACCCTCCTGAGTCCCTTGTAGCCAAGAGCAGGACAAAGAATGTCACTTTCCCAGGCTCCGAGGTCTTCAGGTTCATGAGGGGACAGAAAGGCAGTTTGTCCTTTCTTTTTTCTGTTTAAAATTGTTTTTAGATTTATTTGTTTTATTTTTATGTGCCTAAGTGTTTTTCCTTCATGCATGTACACTGCACACTTGTACTGGAACCTGCAGAGGTCAGAAGAGAACATTAGACGCCTGGAACTTAGTTACAAATGGGTGTGAGCGATCATGTGGGTGCCGGGATCCAAACCCAGGTTTTTGGTAGGAGCAGCGAATGCTCCTAACCCCTGAGTCATCTTCAGACCCTTGAGTTTGACATTCCTAACCCAAGGCATTCCATCTGCCTGATGGAAGCAAGAAGATATCATAGTGTTACCTGGGCTGCTGGGTGAGTTGTCTTATTTGCCCGGGTTCCTGGAGCCTTTATGCCATTCTCAGATCTGTGGAGAAGGAATGGCTGAGAGGGAGTCTTATGCTTGTCTAGGAAGCCAACAGGGCTGCAGCTCACTCAGAGCAGCCGTGGTTGTTTACTCTTCCCAGAGCCATGTTCTTCCGATGGCTTTCTCGTGCCTCTTTCTCCTCATTCAAGTCTCTACTCCATGCATGAAGCTATAAAAGAGGTCTTTCCTAGCTGTCCATCATCACCATCATCTTCTTCATCACCATCACCACCATCATCATCATCACCATCACTATCATCATGATCACCATCGTCATTGTTATCACTATCGTCATCATCATCATCCTATTACCTCTGCCTCCTTCTTCTACCTCATGCAGAACAGTCTGATATTAAGATACAAACTGATCAGCTGAGGAGGGAAAGGAGGACAGGACTTTGCTTCTTCTTTTTTTTTTTAATTTTGTTGATTTTTACTGAGCTCTACATTTTTCTCTGCTTCCCTCCCTGCCTCTCCCCTCCCCTTCAACCCTCTCCCATGGTCCCCATGCTCCCAATTTACTCAGGAGATCTTGCTGGGGCTTCTATCACAGTGCTGGGTAACAGGTATTCAGTGAATGGCAAAGCTGCAGAAGAATCAGTAAATCGAGGAACAGACACATATAACGCCTGCAAGGCTGGTGGTCAAAAACCCTTGTTCTGAGTTTGGATCTCTAAGACATTTATGGTGCTGACAGACTTGGAGAAAGTTTTTGAGACTGGCTCATTTACTACTAATAATTTTGGTTTTGAACTTGACTTAAAAATAATTAAGAATATTGATTTATTACAATTCTGTATTTAATAACTATATTTTTATAGTGCTGTAGGGCTTTGTGAAATGATTGCTTTTCTTATCATCTATTAGAGTTGTAGCAGGGTGTGATTAAACATGAGAAAATGGACCTTAGAGTCAGCAAACTGTCCTTTTTAATCTTAGCTCAGATATGATGGCAGGATTTCAGCTCTCTGTGCCTCAGGTTTGGCACACAGAGCAGTGGAGGTAAGCATGGCGCCATCACGGCCCTTTACCCTGCCAGACAAGGGCAAATGGCCACTGCCGTTGCTACTGTACCGTCTCCTCCTTCAGCTGGTATCTATGAATGGCAGGAGGAAGCCCGTGTCCTCTCTATTGAGGTAGAATTGGGTAGACAGGGAGTTGGAGAAGTTAGTAATGCTTGTTGCTCTGCAGGAGGACCTCAGTTCCATTCCCAGCACCCCCATTAGGCAGCTCACAACTGCCTGAAACTCCTGCCCTGCAGGATCTGACTCCTACCTCCGGTCTCCAAGGGCCCTGCCTGTCCTTGGGATACTCAGGTTTAAGTAGATAGAAATAAGTCATAAAAATGCAAGCGGCTAAGCGAAGTTAGCAAGGAGGTGCCTGTTTGCCATCAGGAGCAACAGCAGGTGACTGAACATAAAAAAACAAAACAACCCAAAAGCAAGTCTGTGAAAGTCAGTTCTCCAGGGCTACTTCCCTTGTTTCATCCTTTGGTTTAGAGTGTCAGAGCTCCAGCCACCGGCACATCAGATCCCCGTAAGAAGGTTTGAATAGTGCCAATAGCCAGGCCTGCCTCTCAATCTAAAGAACACAGTTTGCTTCACCTGGGAACGTAACACCCTAGAAGTGAGTCGCACTCAGTCATGGTCAGGAGTGGGTGATGGGAAAGTCCGCAGCTTACCCAATTGCAGTGACGTGTCTGAGACTTCTTTAGGGAATTGACTTTTCAAAAAGAAACATTTTCAGCTAGGCATAGTGGCACACACTGAAAATCCTAACACTTAGGAGGCCGGGGAAGAGGCAAGCTACGCAGTAAACTCCAGGCCAGCCTGGGCTTACAGCAAGACCACTTGAAAAAGGGGGAGGAGGAGGTGGAACTGTAGATTCCTGGTCCTCATCAGACTCAAGGGAAGGATGATGCAGAAGTCACCCAAGGGTGACTCTAAAGCTTTCTGGGCTTTGGAAAACATGGCAGGTGGACAGGAGAAGAGGACCACAGCGGCTAGCACTGACAGCTGAGCAAATCCCAAAGTCTGACTCTCGCTAAGTCACAGGTCCTTTACTCCCAGGGCTTTATGTTTTCGGTTTAGTCTTGTGAAAATCTAACAGAACTGCCGCAGCTTTAACCAGGAGCTTTGCTCTTCCTGAGTAGCTATTTCTTTGCAGGCCCACACTTGTTCTGTCATGGTGTCTGAAAGGGGCACAGGAAGGAGGACCTTCAGGTAGGTATTGGGTTGGGGTAGAGTCACACAAGCAACAAAGTCAACGATGGAGGATCGTTGTTGACCCATCCATCCAGAGCAGCCGCCGTCCAGGAAATCCTGTTTGCATTCATGGGAGGACCCTGAGCTAGTGAATTTACCAGAGGGAATAAACATGGTCATATGACTTTTCAGAAAAAAGGATGTTCTGGAAGGCAGATGTAAATACTGTGCAGCTGCCCTAGTGGAAATGTTCCTAGTGGGCAAGATGGTGTCCGGAGTTAGAGTCGTACGAGTTAATATTAGCTGCTCCTCCAGGAAGCTTATTTCATCACAGAACATTCGAGACTCAAAAAACAAACAAACAAACCAAAAAACCCAGGAAACTTGAGACATATTACTATGTCATGATATAGAAGACTAGATAATATAAGATTTTACAAGCAACTTTTAAATTTTAGTTTTTAAAATTTTTAGTTTAGCTTAGATTTTGAGGCAAGGTCTCACAGATCCCAGACGAACCTCAAACTCACTGTGTATTTGAAGGTGGTATTGAACTTATGATCCTCCTGCCTCCACTGCCCAGGCAGCAGCAAGATGACAATCTCATGTTACCACAGCCAACTTAAACCCCATCTGATTCTGCTTGTTTAAGGAGGAAATACATCATTAAATATGTCCCTAAAACACGTGCAGCACGGTTCTTTAGAGGAATAGTGGTTTCATTGCAGCAGACAGAGTGAAGCCAAAAGGAATAACTTCCAGCAAGGTTATATCCTAAGACCAATGGACTTTATTCCTCCAAAGAAACATCCATTCTAGCTTCCAGCAGCAGATATTTAACACTGGAGTTTTCTATTCTGAACTGTCTCAGTGTTTCCCAGCAATGGTCCTCGGGGTGGTTGAAATAAACGTTCTGATTCACAGGAAAGCAATTGTCTTTAGGAAGAAGACACAGACTTCTAACTTCATGTTAAAATACAGATCATGTTAGGTGATTTCACTTCCATTTTAAAGAATGGTTTTAAAGTATTCATTCATTTCTTTACCTATTTAAAATATTCTCCATACCTCTGTTTGAAAAAAAAATCTTATCCTTCAAACTTTTCGTGAGGTAGTAACTGAGCCTAAACCTTCAGCCCCAGGGGTGTATTCCAACAGACTATAGCAATAGTCAGCCCAGTGGAGCGAACATACGACTTGGTGTTGGGGACAGGTTTAGTAAAAGGTGATCAGGCACATGTTTTCCAATATGGTGAGCTCCAGGACAGATGAGTAAGGTCCCCAAAAGGGAAGGGAAGGAATCAGTTTCTGTCCCAGAAGCTTACAATTGGTGGTCAGGATATGGTGTGGCATTGGAAACCGGAGAAGAACCATTGACAGGTTAGATAACATATCTATAGCCTGCTGGTGTGTGTGTGTGTGTGTGTGTGTGTGTGTGTGTGTGTGTGTGTGTGTGTGTGTGTTTGAAGTATATTTATTTGGAGAGCTGGCATTTGATCACCTGGAGACAATCTGAAAAAGCAACGGAGACCTGGGAATCTTTTGCTTGTCACTTTTCAAGTCACCAAACCTTTGCTGACTGCCATTCAAGTGTGGGATCCTGGGGATGTGAAGCAACAATGAAGAACCCGCTGTGTGCCTGTGCACAAGCTAAGGCCAAAGAAACTTAACAGGGAGGGGTAATGCTAGAAGTTTTCCAAGCATGTGTGCATGCCCGTTCAGCTCCTAGAGTGTGTGCAGACTAACTACACAATGTTATAAAGTCCGCAACTCATTCCTGCGGGTGGAGATCACAACTCTGACTCCCTGCACAGGTGTGTTGCACAGGTGTGAGAGTCTTCCTTCCAGGCTGCCATGACTAGTCTTGTCCCAGGCATATTTTGCGCAGGGTCTTTGACCTTGGACATCAAGGTTGAGGGTAGTAGTTGGGAACGAGTAGCGAGTAACGTAGACAAAGTTTTCTTTTTCTCTCAAAGGATCCATTAGTAATTCTTATGGACTGACGTGCCCAGTATCTATAAGAATGTGTCACTAGCCTTCCTTGCTGTGGCGTCCACCAGGCTCTCTCTCCTGCCTCCACAAATGCTCATAGTCTTCGTGAAACTTTCGTTTCAGTTGCAGTGAGTGGTCTCATGGAAGAAGAATACACTGTGGAAGTTGAGATCAGTTTTGAAAACATCTCCTTCCTGGAGTCTGTCAAAGCTCACTTGAACAGCCTCAGTTTTCCAATTCAAGGAAATGGCACGGACCCAGCCACAGACATCATGAGCATAGGAATGACAACAGGTGAGCCACACACACATTGCTTGAGAGCGGATGGCTGGGCATATTGTGAGAAAGGCAGACTGCTGTCCTCTAAATCATATTAAACACGGGACTTTATGACCCCCTACCTCCCAGAATGAACTTGCTAGCAGTAAATTTCCCAGCCAGTCGTCACCTTATTTTAAATGATGACCAGAGATTTCCTTGGTGGTTGCGATAAAGTGACCCCTAAGGTATAGACAGACCCTTCCGGACAAATTAGTGAATCCTTTTCCTCTGAAGAATGTGTGGGTGCAGCAGGGAGGGTCTCAGTATGTTATAAGCAGTGACTTCTTTTCTTTGGGGTATCATAGGTCAGGAAATAGAAGCCAGGCACATACCTGAATCAGAAGCAAGACCTTAAGCAAAATTGTCCCAGGTCATGATTTGACTTTGTGTTTGATGACTTTCTACTGAAATGAAACTGTTCTTCATTTGTCTCAGGGGGCCATCCCCAAAGAACCGGTGTCCCATAGATGAGGCTGCCATGTGTCTTATAATAGTTCTGTTCTTTGGAAAGCACCACTGTAACTTAGTAACCATTTAGTGACTTTTCTCTGAGTAGCGTCCCATGGGCACCCATCTGCAGAGTGTCTCCCAAAGAATCTCTATGTTCCTACCTTAGACACCGATTCAAGTGTTTCTGTTTTCAGAACTTTTGTTTTCTTCCCTTTTTTAATGTCTCCAGTGAGATCAGAGTCCATTTGGGCTGTGCATTTATTTTCATTCTGCATTTGGTGTTTATTTCAGTGTAACAGATTTCTTTCAGCCCTATAGAACAACTGACACGCACTATCTTGAAGTTTCTGAGGGTCTGACATCTTGGAGCAGGAGTTGGGGTAGGTGGTTCTATCTTAGGAACTCTGATTCTGAAGGCCCTACTGGGCTGGAAAATCCACTTTCTAGTTCACCAGGTGGTTTTTGGCCAACTATAGTTCCCAAGCAATTACTGTTTAGAGACCATGTGGTCTCTTCCTGACAGATCTTGGCACCATGCAGCCAACTTCTCCAGAGGAAAAGACAGAGAGGGAAGGAGAAGGAGTGGGGAATGAAAGAATATGCTAAATGACACTATCACTTTCACCATGTTTATAAGTGGGTGCCACAAAAGGCTGTGAATTCCTAGGGGCAGAGATGCTCAAAGGTCATCTTGGAAGCTGGCTTCTCCTTCCTCTGTACCAATGATTCTTAAACTTCCTAATGCTGTGACCCTTTAATACAGTTCCTTACGTTGTAGTGACTCCCAACCATCAAATTGTTTTTGTTGCTACTTCATAACTGTAATTTTGCTACAGTTATGAATTGTAATTTTTTTTTTTTAAATTTGGAGCTAGAGGTTTGGCTAAGTGGTCATGACCCACAGGTTGAGAACCACTGCTCTACATCGTGGGATCCACTCACTATAGACACCTAGTGGCTGTGTAATATAAAACATGTCTACCCAAAAAAAGGATTTGCTAGTCTGAAGTCACTCAAGCGTCACCTTTCAGATGACCTCACCTAATGGTTTTGTGATGCATATATGCCTTCTTGAACCTCATGAGATTCTATTGAACTCTCCAGAAGGTCAATGTGGAATTGAGCTAAGAGTTCCTGCAAGTATAGGCAGTTGCAATCTACAAATGTAAGGGCGGTGACCGTCTTGTCTCTCCTCTTTTTGGTTGACGGCAGTCTGCACACCTGCTGGAAACGACCTCTTGTGCTCTTGTGAGAAAGGCTATGTGTGGCCCCTGGAAAGGTGTCTCCACAATCTAACTTGTCAAGAGCATGGTGGTGCCCTGTCAGGCCGCTCCTGCAGTTGTCTGAAAGGACTTCCTCCCCAGGGACCTTTCTGCCAGCTCTCTGATGGTATGCAATTGTTCTTTAAATATCTGTTAAATGGGTATTCAACTTTACCTCAAGCAAATGTCTCTTTGTATTGTCTGTATTCAAACACCAATGAGCCAGTTACATTTTGCCCTGTGTTTTTCAGCATATATTACCTTAAAAATCAAAGTCAGACTGAACATAGGATTTCAAGAAGACCTCAAGAATTCGTCCTCTGCCCTCTATAGGTCCTACAAGACTGACCTGGAAAGAGCGGTAGGTTTGAGCTGCTGGAGTCGTTTACCCAAGGAAGTGTCTAGGTGGAACAAGAGAAGCCCATTCCAGTGGACAGGGTGCTTACACACATGTAATCTAAGGTGTAAGTGAAGTTATGCAAACCCACCTGAGAAGGGGAATTGAGAAGTACTCAAATCAAATAGCATTCAGAGGACAGAGCATCACCTTGGCCTATCAGTTGACCCTTTTCCCCGAGTAAAAACAATTCAGATAAGATTTGGTAATATCAGTTCACCAAAATCAATTCCGAGACTTGGGAGCCTGGTCCAGGAGACGTAGGTAGGTAGCTCAGGTCTGCTCTTCAGGCATTCTAGAATTCTTCTGTCTTGTGTAGCTCAGAGCACTCTGCCTAGTGGACGGCACTGCCCCCCCCCCAAGTGGGCAGGGATTTCCTACATAGATAAGGATCCTCCCTGGGCAGGGCAACTCAAGGCTTCAAGCCTGAAGTCCAACTTAGAACTCAGAGAGTTTCCAACTTCTCTACCCCTGGAAGTCAGTAGGCATTCACTCTAGGAACATTTTATAGTTACTGAGCTATAAAGACAGAGAAGTCTTTGCGAGTGGTAACTGTCTCCCAGCTGCAACTGTTCAATCTCTCTCTCTCTCCCCTCGCAGCCCCTCCAACTTCTCTCCTGCATTTCTCTGAGCACCTTTTTGTGCTCTTAATCTACTGTTTCCTTCTCTAATAACTGATATAAATTATTAGAAATTACTTCAAGGCCTTGACAAGGCCACCACTAACAAGATACATAAAATAAAGTCGGACCTGGGTTGATCATGAGTTTGAGTAAGCCTTGGTATTGTTCACTAGCCTTTGATACATGACCTTTCTCTTGTTTTATTTTCTAGTTCCGAGAGGGTTACAAGACTTTACCAGGATTCAAATCGGTGACTGTGACACACTTCACGTAAGAATGATGTCATTTATTCATTTTTCTATGAGGGCAGAAACCAATCCACCAGGGAAGAAAATCAAACATCCTCGGGCTATCATTGGGGGGTGCTCGGCAGGAGCAGGTTGTTAGAGGTGAGAATGCAGAGACGCATCCTTTAGGGTGGACCTCCTTAGCAGCAAGGAAGCACAAAGGTGTGCTCATTTCATGCATGCAAGCGTTTCACAGACAGAAATACATCTGTAGTTCTGAGAGTTGGAAATGTCAAAGCGGAATCCTATCGGGTAGCAATACTGCTAGAAGATTGTGCTAGGCAGACAGGGTTGCAGGGTTTTCTGGTGCACCTGGAGCCTAGAAACCTGTGGGTTCAGCTCGCTGTTCCCATCTGGTCACTTTTCTCAGTTGTATTCCTGGTAAGTCTTGCCTCGGGCTACCGATTAACATTTGAAGACAGGCTTATTCTAGTGATTCCTTGCAGATAATAGTACTATTGGCTTCTGCTCTTTTGCTTTTCCATGCAAAGAGCCACAAGGATCTAGACCCCTCCTAGCTCAGTTTCTGCTTCACTTAACTGAGGGGTCTCTGTGCAGCAAAGGCAGCGTGGTTGTGAACTTCGAGGCCCAGTTTATATCCTCACCACTGCCCGGATCAATTCACAAAGCCAACGAGCACGTCACACAGAACCTCAACCAGACCTACAGAATGGACTACTGCTCCTTCCAAGGAACGCCGAGCAGTAAGTGGAATGTGCTTCATCCTCACACACGTTCATCTGGGCTAGGCATGGTGATGGTTGATTAGAGCCAGGGCAGAGGTTCTCGCATGGCGGTGTGTGCCGCCACACTCTTCACAACATCAAGGGGGTGGTTGTGACAACAAATAAGCAGGTAATGAAAGCTTGTACAACAGAACTTTCCTAGGCTGTCAAGAAAGATAAAATTATTAAAATTCCAGGACAATAGATGAGTCTAGAAAATACGAAGCCAGGTGAACCTGACTCAGAAAAACAAAAACTGCATGTCATGTTTCCTCTTCTATGTAGATCCTAACTGTTACTGTGTGACAAGATAGCAAAAGGGAGCTCCCAGGGTGGAAGTGGTGGGTGAGAGGGAGGTTCGGAAGAGAAGATGGAACAAAATAAATTATTGCTAAAATGTTGTAACAGACCAGACATGGTGGTGCACGCTTTTAATCCCAGCACTCAGGAGACAGAGGCAGGAGAATCTCTGTGAGTTCAAGGCCATCCTGGTTGACAGACAGAGCAAGTGTCAAGACAGTCAGGGCTTCATAGAGAAACCCTGTCTTGAAACAGACAAAAAAAAAGTGTTATAATGAAATAGACTACTATATACACTAAAATAAATAAATAAATAAATGAGGGAGAGGATGAAGGCCCAGGAAATCATGGTGATATTTCTTATGATAGAGGCCTGGGTCACTGGGTGACATCTGCCCCTTTTTGACTAACATACAAAAGCCGGAGAGTCAAGGAGATGGGAACAGGGATTTATAATAGAAATTCTGTGGGTTTCCTAAGTTTAGATATTCAAAAAATCCATAAATGCAAGGCTAACCCCGCAGTGATGGGGGCCATAGTCACAGCAGATGCTGACACTAAGTAGGGTCCATTGTTGATTTAGAGGGTAGGTCTTAGAGCTTGTTTGTACCACACTAGCCCTACAAAGACCCATATGTATTTCATCAAAGTCTCAACCCCGGATGGTTCTGATGCAAGGGGAGGCTTCCAAACTGCCGCTCCAGATGATTTAAAACAGTGGCTGGAAATACATGACTTTAGGTACTCTCTTCCAGTGGGGTCCAGACATGGGCTCTGTCTGGTGCCTCAGCAGGCAGTGGGACCATCGTTACTCAGGGAGTGGTAAGGGGGGGCCTGTGGGCAGGATTGTGACCTGCAGATGCTGAGAAGAGCCCTCAAGAATCCTGGAGAGGCATAGTCTGGAGAGCCGGCTCCACAGTTCGCATTCACTGAAGCACAACCCTCCCACTTTTCCTTTGAATTTCCAGATGAAACGAAGTTCACCGTTACACCGGAAGTCATCTTAGAGGGAGACAGCGTAGTTCTGGAGTGTGAAAGTGAAATCGTGTCCTCCAACACGTCTTGGTATTATGGAGAGAAACGCTCCGAGATCCAGAGCGGCGGCAGATTCTCCATCCACACCTCGGTCCTCAACAACATGAGCTTGGTTTCCCGCCTCACCATTTATAACTTCACGAAGCGCGATGCCGGTGAGCTTCCGACCTGAGACTGGGGGAGGAACTCAATGGTGTGCTCAGAGCGACAGCCCACAGCACAGGGAATGGGGCTGAGCTGTCCACAAGAAGCCTGATGACTTGTTCCAAAATGGAAAAGTCGTCCCCTGGCATTCCTGTGTGTGTATTTGTGTGTATGCAAGTGTTGTGTGAGTGTTTGCGTATCTGCCTGGATTCCCTGCCTGTCGGAGGTTGCAGTCTACCACGGGCGCTTTGGCAGCTCTCTCCAGGCTCGGGCAACATGGATGACACGGTAACTCCTTCCCCTGGCCCTGTTCTCGGTCTGACCTTATTTGGAGAGCGTCTCTAGGCCAGGATACTTGGCTATCTCTAGTATGACCCTGGACACAGTTCCCTGCAGAAGCTTTCCCTCTGCTGCTTATATGGTAATTAGACACTGAGGCTTGCTGTAGGGCCGTGCTCCACAGAGGATAACTAAAGGTTACTGGGAGCTTAATGTAGGAGTGCGCCGTTAACTACAAACTCGGTGATTCTCCAGCCATCGATCCCAATCCTGCATATTCCCTGCACTCTGGAATAAAGCTGAGCAGACTCACCGAAGCTGTCTCCTGGAGAGCTGTCTTCATCGCGCTCACAGGCTGTGCAGAGTTCTCTGTCATCGCTTCTGCCCCTTGTACCCATAGACTGGTGGCCAACAGGCCTTGAGGAAAAGGGGACCCAGACACACATATCCACAAGAGGTCAGACTTCAGAGTGTCTTGAGACAGGGTCTCTCACTGACGCGCACCCAACAGTCTGCTCGGCAGTGAGATCTGGTGGCCCACCTGTCTCCACCTTTAGAGTTACAGATGCACGCTACCATTTCCATCTTTTTAGATGGGTTCCAGGGTCTGAACTCAGATCCTCATGCCTGCACAGCAGACCACGAAGCATCTTCCCAATTACCCAGGATACTGTTTTTAATGACATAGAAAAATCTACTGGTATATTTTGAATTTTACTAGTGTATAGTATAGTCTTATGATGTTTTATTTTAATTAACCTACAAAATTTTAGTTTGCTGAGATAAAATTGGCATATTACATACCACAGATATTTTAAGTATATAATTTACTAGGTTTGGACACATACACTTGAGAAGGCATCACCAAAATGAAGTTGGTGAATACATCTAGTCTCTCAAAATGTTCTTGTTCCCTAAAGTAATCCCTCCCTTTGGCCTTTCCTGCACCCAAGTGCCTACTCCAAGCAAGCACAAAAACATAAATTTCAGAGATTAACAATGAGCCTGACACATTCTAGTATTTAATAACTCCAGTTAAAACCAGATGTCAGTGGGGCCAGTTCTGTTCTTCCGAACCAGTAGGGCCAATTCCGAACAATAAAGAGGTCTATACATGCATGAACTCTTGTCACATTTGTGCAGATTCTGCATTCTATCACAGGATTAAATAGCATGCCAGAATTATCCATGGTCCTCCAATTCTCAGACTTACCAATTTTGTTTCCATGTCTTATATTCCCACACTTGTCCCTGAGAATGCCTCGACGGAGACCTTTTTCTACTTTTTACCTTAGGTCATTAGACATGCCTGATTGACTTGACAGTTTCTGAATGTTCCTTCAAGGGTGTCCTTGAATCAAGCCTGGGATGCCATGATATGTGAGGTGCTCGATTTTATTAAGAAAAATTCATTGGAGTGATAATAATTCATAATCTTGTGAACTCTTGACAGGTGAATATCGCTGCAAGCTGACATTGGATATTTTTGAATACGGGGATGCCAGAAGACTAGATGCCACTCCCATCCAGATTCTGGCCATGGAGGAGAGGAAGGTGGTGTGCGACAGCAACCCCATCTCGTTGAACTGCTGCAGCGCGAACGTCGCAAACTGGAGCAAGATTGAGTGGAAGCAGGAAGGGAAAATAAAAATTCTAGGTAAGCATGGCAGATCAAGACCTTTTGCAAAGAGGGCTCTTTGCTTACCTCTCAGTAAGTAAAAACAAAAACAAAACAAAACAAACAAAAAACCCGAGATATTCTGGACCATAAACAAAAAAAATTAACTAGGTTTTGATTCCAGCACCAGCCTAGACACTCTAAAACAAACCCCCCAAAACACTTGTATGCAAACATCACACTTGCATTGTGGGCAAGATCTTAGCAGATCAAGACGTGAGAGGGAGTGACCTAGTGACTTGGGTCCATAGCACAGCTCATCCTCCCTCTCCTTTCTACCCTCAGCAGAAAGCTACAGCTGAGCAAGCCTGACCTGAGCTTCTCATCTTTGTCCCTGTGTGGGCCTACTCCCTTACACACTTCCTTCAGCTTTTTCCGTCTCTCTGATTCCAGCTTGTGTTTCTCTGCATACTTATTTCTCTTTCACTCACTACATGTCAGTTCTTACTCATCAATTTTTTTGCATGTGTATGCATGTCGTATGTGTTCACATGTGTTGGGCCATACAGAACGGGGATACACATGTTTAAAGGGCAGAGGCTGACGCTGAACTTCCTCATTGATTGGTTTCTTTCTTTAACCCAGATCAGGAATTTTGCTAGTATAGCTAGCTGATTGATCTAGGGATCTCCCATCTCTCTTCTGCATGCTGGGATTTTGCAGGCTGCTGTATTTGTACGGATATAGAGGATCTAACCAGTCCTCAGGCATATATGAAAGTGTTTTACCCACTGGTCTATTTTCCCAACTCTGCTTTTGTTTTGCACTGAGATCTAACCTGAAGTTCCTCACCCTCCAGTTCATGCTAGATAGTAAAGTAAAGCAGCAATGGTGTCTAAAGACATGCATCCGTCAGCAAGAGCATTTGTTCTTGCAGAGGACCAGGGTTTGGTTTCCAGCACCCACACTGCAACCATCTGCAACCCCAGTTCTTAGGGTCCTAATAACTGACCTCCTTGGGCACCATGTACACATGTGGTGCACAGATACACATGGAGGCAAAACACCTAGACACATAAAATAAATTCTTAAAAAATTAAACTAGAAATAGTGACTTTTTATAACAGTTTTGCACAAATGTTAGCCCCTTAAAAATGATTGATAGTGATCGCATCTAAACTTGATCACAAGTTTGAAGCTAGTAGTTTTACCTCCAATGAGAAAATAAGGAAATTTGGATCCAGATTAAATTGCTTTTCCCAAGGTTCTCACAATATGAAAAGAAAAGAACTAGGACTCTCCACTGATCTCAGTTCATGAGACCAGCACTTTCTCCATCCGGTGAGCCGGCTTTGGACCTAGTTGCTGGCAGGTTAGATACAAAAGCACCATTTGCTATTTAGAGACCATATGAGAAAACAGTCATCTCTTCTTTTAAGAAACAATAATATTAGGCCAGGCTATGGTGGCGCACGCCTTTAATCCCAGCACTCGGGAGGCAGAGGCAGGCGGATCTCTGTGAGTTCGAGACCAGCCTGGTCTACAGAGCTAGTTCCAGGACAGGATCCAAAGCCACAGAGAAACCCTGTCTCGAAAAACCAAAAAAAAAAAAAAAAAAAAAAAGAAACAATAATATTGTGTAAGACATTTAAAGAAAAAAAACCTTTGAACTAAAATGGAGCGCTACACACGTTGTGAGTGTGCTACATGTTTATGTTACAAAGTCTCTGCCCTTAAGCTAAGCAGTGTTTTTATTACAAGTTTAATATGAACACGTCAGTCTCTACCCACACTTTCCTGAAAACCTCTAGACTGTAAAGTACATTTCACCTACACATCTGATTAGTCTGGCAAAGACTGAGAAAGACATCTGGTAAACCTGAAAACTGTCGGCAGGGGACATTTAGTCACTTCCCTGGTTTATAAGGAAAAGGTGGCACAGGCATCCTGAAGGCGCTGCCAGATGGAGGAGAAGCCTTGCACAATTCCCATGGCTCTGGTGGAGGAGCTTTCAACCCAGAAGGTGACAAGACCTCGCCCTCTGGCAGAGAAACCAGGAAGTCTGCAGTGGGATGCTCGGGGACCTCTCTCTCTGGTGACCCCTTTGCAGACTTTCCTAAGTACAGCAAGGTTGACCAGCCTACAGAACAATGGATTTCCTGCATAGCTTGTTATCCTCCCACCCTGACCCCAGCCAGCCCTGGCCCCCAAAGCAGCTTGATGGGGTGCTAAGTTCTACAGTGAGGATTGCTGGTTTATGTACCCACAGCACACTGACAGCCTCATGTCACACCACAGCCCTGATTGCTAGTAAAGTCCCCCTTGTCTTTTAAAGCTTAGAATAACGTCCTCTCCTCTGATAGCCTTTGTAGACACCCATGTGAAATGACCTTCCTCCCTGCTTTGAACCTGCCTGCTGTACTGAATTTTCTTTTGTGGGACCTGTCCTTGACACATCCCTATTGTTCTGTCTATTTCTATATTCATCTCACTCGGCATGGTCCGTTACCTTGCCCGTTGGGTGAGAAGGCTGGACTTTTAGGGATGAGTTACATTCAGCAGGAAGAGGAAGGGGAAGTACGAGACTGTAAACACTGGTATCCAGGTCCGAGGCTGAAGGGTGTGTTGGAAGCCAGGGTGTGGTTTGGGTTTTGAGAGGATGAAGAGGCAGGTGCCAAGGAGAAGGGCAGATTAGGGCATGTGTGTGATAAAGGTTGCTACCATCTAGGGGTCTGAATCAGGTTTGTCTCATCTGCCAATTAAAGAATTTAAAGGCGCAAAGAAGTATCAAGGGCAAAGGCCAGCAATGGGAGAAATCTCCAGTATGACAGAAGAGTCAGCAGCTGAAGAAGGCTCTCATGAGGGGAGAAGAAACACACTCAATAAGGCCCATCTAGAGAAAGCAAGACAAAGACCTTCTGCAAAGCAAAGGAGGGTTTCGGGAGACTAAAACCAGGTTTCTCCTCACTGAGGTTTTAAGGGTCTTTGAGTGGGTTTTCTTCTTCAATTTAGGGTTTGTCATTTGCAACGAAGACAGGGGGTCAGGTAGACTCACGAGTGTGGAGATATATTTATGCCGTAATCCAGCCCTGGACTTGTTGAGCTGGTCCACTGGTTGGGGTGGAGAAACTAGTGGGAGGAAAAACCCCACTAAGTCTTTGTTTTGAGATGCCAGGCTTTTGTCTCAGGGAAGAAGGGCGGGGAAGTTTGCCATCTCTATTCTCTATTGTCTGTTTGTCCTCTTCCTATCTGACTCCTGGTCCACAGCGCCACACACTGCGAGAAGAACGTCTGACTTTGCTGTACACACAAGTACGTTAGACGAGCAGGGCTTTAGAAAACTAAGCATTCCCGGGCGTCCTGGTGTCTCTGTGTGCTTGATGCTCAGGAGGCTGAGGCCAGCCTGAGCTACACAGCAAATTCAAAGCGAGCTTGACTTATCTAGTGAGACCTTGTCTTACAACCCCAAATAAGTCAATTACAATAAGAAAATGAAACTTACAGGCGGCATAATGAGTAAGTTGAAGGCGGAATTAACTGAGAATTGAGACCCAGATGTAATCAGTTGCAAAGTTCAGACAACACAGTGGGGCCTGGGAGAGTGACCTTGCTTTGATGGAGTCAGCCTTGTTTCAGGATCTTAAGCTCAAAGAGCATTTTTTTTTTTAATAAACAAGTGTGTAGAAGTACAATGTGAGGAAGTGCAGGTAATTAAAGTGGCCTTTAAGATTTTTAATTTGTGTTTCTGCCAATATCAGTAAGAGGAAGCACTGGATGTGTGAGTTTTGTCTGGGGAAAAATAAATAAATTGCATGTGTTGAGTTTTGAGGGTAACAGAGATGTCAAATCAACACTTGGGAATTTGCCTCAGAAGTTTCCAAGCAGGACATTCCTCTTAGAGTCGTGTGGGAAGTCATCCAATCTCAATTTATGACAGGAGCCAAAGTTGTGAGGTTGCTGAAAGAATGAAGAGAAAATGAGCAACAGTGGGGTGGGGTGGAGGGAGTTGGGCCAAGCACAAAGCAGGGAGCATCCTATGCATTTAAGAAGGATGCTCGGATAGGGCCTTAGAAACGAGATCCAGGAGGATGAGGTAAAAAAAGATAAAGGACAGACCTGAAGGCTCAAGCAGCCACAGCAGGTGGCTGGCAGTGGGGAGGGCATAGTGCAGATCGTCTGGAGAAAAGCCCAGGATGGAGGAAAGAGGACGTTCTTGTTGGTCTTCAGGAAATACTTCTGCTAAAGCAGAGGGTGACAAACGTCAGTTTCAAGATGTAAACTGGGGGAGTGGGAAGCCAGAGATAACACATGCAGAAACATCATGAAAAGTAGAGATGTTGGGGGGAGAGGGCCTTTCACACGGGCAGACTTGGCCAATGATTTGACTCCTGTCTGAGGGCAATGTTTTAAATTTATACAGTCAGTCAACGTTGTAGAACCCTGATACAGATGTGGCTTTCTTCTGAGAACTCAGCTCAAGAAAGGATGGGCAGAGAGAGGACGTCTTTAGAGAATTAGAAGTGATGTTGTCAACATGAAAGAGAGAGGGAATGGGCGGAGTTACTCCAACAGACCCTCGGGTAGGAAGATGGTTGTAGGAGCCGCTTTTCTGCCTCCCTGCTTGAATAACTAGAGAAGAAACCAAGATGTAGAAGCCATGGCTTATTTCTGGCTTACAGTTCCAGAGCAGACACGGTCCACCAGGATAGGGAGGGCCTGGAAGCCAGGTGTGCTCATGTTTCATCCACACACAGCGAGAACAGGAAGTGTGGCTAGGCTGTGAAAGCTTAGAGCCAGCCCACAGTAATGTTACTTCCTTCAGCAAGTTCCCACATCCTAAAGGTTCTGGAATCTTCCCAGAGAGCAGTGCTAACTGGGGACTCAATCTTCAAACATATGGTCCTATGGGGGACATTTGTCATTCAAACCCCAACACTGGTCATACGTCAATCAAAATAATAAAGGCATCTGTCTAGGGTGACTGCTGGCGTAATGAAACTCCATGACCAAAGCACCTGGAGGAGGAAAGGGGTTATTATGCTCACAGTTCCATTAACAGTTCACCATCAAAAGTAATGAGGGTGGGAACTCAAGCAGAACAGGAACCTGGAGACCAGAGCTGATACAGAGATTGTGGAGGGGTGCTGCTTAATGGGTTGCTCCTCATGGCTTCCTTAGCCTGCTTTCATGTAGACAGAACCCAGGACCACCAGCCCAAGGATGGTACCACCCACAAGGGGCTGGCCCTCCCACATGGATCACTAATTAAGAAAATGCCTTACACCAGATCTTATGAAGGCATTTTTTTCAGCTGGGGCTCCCTCCTCTCTGACGACCCTCGCTTGTGTCCGGTTGACGTAAAACTAGCCAGCACAGCACAGCTCAGCTGACCTGCTACAGCTGAAAGACTGAATTTATTTGGACACTAACCCATCAACTTACTCTGTCTTCACTTTGGGAGGGTGTAAATGTTTAGGGAATGTCTGGGGACTGCAGTTGCAGATGAAGTGGGCAGGTTGAAAATGGAGACTGGAGTGAGAAAAATCATACACAGGGTTGTTCTAGAAGCCCCGGGAAGATGATTTGGAGGGTGGGTTGTTTCTGGAATGGAAATGATGATTTTGGGAATATAAAGCTGCTAGCAACTGAAAAAGTATGAAACTGAAGTTTCCACTAAAAAGCTTGCTACTAATTCAGAGTCAGACAATCGTGACGTCAACAGATCTGTTTGTGTCGTTTCAGGGATCCCAGAAACAGACGTAGACTCAAGCTGCAGCACTTACACCCTCAAGGCCGATGGAACCCAGTGTCCCAGTGGGTCTTCTGGAACAACAGTCACCTACACGTGTGAGTTCGTCAGTACCTACGGAGCCAGAGGCAGTAAGAACATAGCTGTGACGTTCGTCTCTGTAGGTAAGAACTCTTGCCGTAGACGCTTCAGACAGATGTAGGGTGCCCTTGCCAATCAACTGGGATCACCAGTGGGCTAAATAAAGCTGGGCCTTCCCTGGGAGTGGGATGGTGGTTGGATGCCCCTCTATGCCATTTCAAGTCAGATGGAATCCATTTTAAGTTGGGAAGGGTCAAGTGGGAAAGAGCAGTGAGAAACTAATCCCCTCGTTTTGATAAAGAAAGCAGAGGGGCCGTGGGAGCCATGTCCCGATCAACTCAGTAAATTCACGCGACCACTAACCCCCTTTCCTTTACAATTCAGTTCCCCTCCTTAAGTTCCGACATCCTCACTCACTTCCCCGCTGTTCCTCAATTCCTCTCCCAGTCTGCCTGTTCTAGAAACAGCACTGCAGAGAGTTAGGACAATCTGAGTATTTGCATTGTCCTATGGTGTCTCCTGATATCCACACATAGGAATCAGAGAGACAACAGGATGTGTTGGCAGGCTGTAAAACCTGTGCGTTCACCCACGGTGACGTACTTCCTTCGGCAAGTTCCACGTCTTAAAGATTTTGTAACCTTCCCAAACAATATCACCAACTGGGAACGAAGTGTCCAAAGACACGAGCCTAGGGGAGACATTTCTCATCCAAACCATAGCGCTGGTAATACACCAATCAAAATAATAAAGACATCATTAATCAGCTAGCATTACAGAGTCACCACCACTGTAATACTCTCCTTCCACCAAGCCTATGAAAAGGAACCATTTGCAGCCTTTTTTGAGAAGTGTCATGACAACAATAACTATTTGTCTCCTGCACGTGTTCTGCTACTAGAACTTAGTGTTTATACAACAGCACAGGCTTGTGTGGGCCCCGTCCACAGCACAGCTCTCTGAGTTAGAATAAGAGTGTACAGGCATGGCAGTTTTCACCACAGAACATTGCCAAGTTTCCAGAGTCCTCGAGGAGTCCCTCTAACAAGCGCCTGGTTCCTCTCCTGATGGCACACTGGCACCTAGACTTAGCTCTTATCTGGATTCCTGGGGGCATATTGTAGAGGTACGGTTAATCCTCGCTGAAAATCCCTGGTCTGGTCATCTGACCTCTTCTGAAGACAAGAGAACCAGAGAACCAGATTTCTGGGTCCATGAGGCTTTGCTTTCTGCTCAGCCATGGCTAGCCCTCAGAGAGCCATATCCAGATCCCTCCAGTAAGAGAGGGCAGAGTGAGGGACACACTTTTTTTTGTGTCCTCAGCCTGAGAACTATGCTAAGACATTATGGAAAGCACTGGCTTCTTTGGATCATCGTTAAGAATAAGATTCATATTGATTGGAGGGGCAGGCCTGTGGTGGTCGACTCAAGGAATGAGCAATTCGCCTCCATGGATGGCCAAAGGAAGGGCCATTTTGAGATGTCAATCATGGGAATGACATGCTCCCAGAGAAAAGGAAAAATAAATAGAACAATAGAAAAATAAACTGTGGGATTTTCTTATCAGCATCTAGATCTACAATGGTCTCAACATTGTCAACAAACAACGTCTTATGAATCTGTGGGAGAATGCCAAAAATAGCAGTAAACATGACATCAGCATGTATATAACTTCGGTTATAATATTGTATATAGTTAAAACCAAATAGCTATAAACAATCCCAGTCTGCCTGAGATAGTCTAAGTATAATTATTTGGATAGTGAACTTTATGATCTGTCTAGGGAAAAACTAAATCGAGGACTCATTCTTTTGTTTATGAAGCACTAACTATATACTAGACCATCAGTAAATGCTAAGGGCACACCAACAGGGGCTAAAGGCTGTCTTTTTACTGGGGACAGATACATCGTCACAGTGGTGTGACGTTGGTGGTACAGTGGTAAGCACAGCTCTCTTCCAAGACGCGACACAGTGTTGTGGGGGAACGTGTCTAAAGAGTTGATGTGCCTTGTGAGAACTCAGTCCTCTGTCTTTCCCTTGAGGGGTCACAGAGGAGGTGGGAGGGGAGCCTGGGTGAAGCCAACATCCCTAAGTTTGCAACCCTTTACCCTGCTAATCATCAGGAGATCATTCCAGCCACAAAGGGGAAGTGCCCGAGGTCCTAAGGCCTGTGACGGAAGTGAGTACAGTTCAGAGCACCACCACCAACAGCCTAGAAACAAGTAAAGCCCAGGAACAGCAAGGTACCAATCCCGCGTTGGCACGAGTAGCGTCAGGACGGTCCGTGTTGCTGTCTCTGTCTTAAATTTTCACTCCTGTGTCGATGTCATCCGAAAAACTAAACATTGGATTTGTTGTCGCTTTTGTCTTGTCTGTCCTGTTTGCCTTCTTTCAGCCAGCCTAACAATAACCTCGGACCCAATTTCTGTTTCTGAGGGACAAAGCTTCACTATCTCATGCAGCAGCGACGTGAGTAACTATGATGAGGTGTACTGGAACACTTCCACTGGCATTAAAATCCACCCAAGGTTTTATACCATGAGCAGGCAAGGGGATCGAGCGGAGTCGGTGCTGACGGTGAAGACCTCCACCAGGGAGTGGAATGGTAAGGGAGGGGCCAGACCCTGCAGTAGACTGTCTAGACTCCTGCAAATGTGCAGTCGCAAGCAGCAGCTGCTTCCAAAGGCTCTGAATTGGGGCATGCCTATGGTGACTATCTTAATCACTCTTTGTGGGTGATATGGTAGTCCTTTAGGGGTAGATAGCATGCTCCCGTTTATAGATGTGGCATACAATGATAAATGCAACATTAATCATGATGGTACAGGTTTGATTGTGCAGACTGGATTGGCATTAGCATCTGAGTCCACAGCCTGCACTCCTGCTTCATGACAGAAGTTGTTTCTAAATAACTTCATGAGGGCCTGAGAAACTGCTCGGTCAGTAGAGCACTTACCTTGCAAGAAGAAAGGCCTGAGTTCAATCCCCAGAAGCCACATAAAAGCCCAGAAGAGTAGTGACTGCTTGCAACCTCAGCAGTGATTGGCAGGGAGTGAGTGGAAGTGGTCCTGACAGGCGAATCCCTGGAGGCTTGCTAACCTGCTTAGTCTAGCCTTCGTGGCAAACTTCTAGTCCAATGAGAGACTCTGTCTCCAACAGAAAATGGAACGTGCCTAGGAGACACCACACTGGAGGTTGTTCTCTGATTTCCACATTTTTGTGTTTACACATATACATGCATATGTACACACACATGTACTCCCATGCACACACACTTACACACACAAATAATAATACACCTTTACTAAATGCTTGGTACTACACTACCCAGCTGTACTATGAAAACTCTGGGAAGTGTTTACATTTCTGGTTTTAATAAGAGAAGTATTTGTATTTCCTGTTTATAGCTCTATGTTGTTAATGTTTCCAGGAAGTACAAATTTTGGAGAGCGGTAAGGAATCAGTAGACCTGTGTGGCAGCAGCTGATCCACAGATCTTTTATGATACAGTAATTACTGTGATAAGTACATAAACATCCGGGGCAGCTGCTTCAATGGTGGTTTGTCCTCGGGTGGCACGGTGTCCTTGAGCCTAAGGGACCACTCATTTAGACAGACAAGTGGGTGCAATGGAACCTCAGGGTTCATCACGTCCCAGATCTTTACAAACATTCTTCTCTGCACACCCCCAGACTCCCACTCTTTCTGTGGTTGTGAGAGAACCATGGAGCAGGAAGTTTGGCACCCAGTTTCACTCTTACCCTTGGATAAATCATTTAATTTGATTGGTTGGAGTGAATGCTTATGTGAAAGAAGGAGCGTTATTGGTTAGTTTTTAGGACATGGGAAGTTCGCAGGAGGGAAGTCAGTCAAGCTCTTCCAGCATCCTTACCCAAGTTGGGGAAGGAAAGCTAAGACTCTTTTTCTCGCCAGTGATGCCCTTTAAGAGTGATGACTTCACTCTGTCTCCCTTTTGCTCCCTCCCCTCAGGAACCTACCACTGCATATTTAGATACAAGAATTCATACAGTATCGCCACCAAAGATGTCACCATCCACCCACTACCTCTGGAGTCAGATATCATGATGGATCCTTTGGAAGCCAGTGGTCTGTGCACCAGTTCCCATCAGTTCAAGTGCTGCGTGGAAGAGGAGAAAGGGGAAGAGTACTCCGTCACGTTCCACGTCGATTCCTCAGCCTTTCCTGCTGGTAAGAGGCAGACCTTCCCATGGTTAGGTCACATTAGCTCATAGACAGGAGGTTTTACTCTTAAAGCAGACATTGAAAAGTTTCTGGAGACGGAGCCACACTTGATGTACAGGAATGTAATCCCCGTTACTCAGGAAACTGAAGCAGATGGGTCTGTGCGTATAGGGATGCCTAAGCAACATAGGGAATTCAAAGATGACCTAGGCAACTTAGTGAGGCTCTGTATCAAAGTAAAACCAAAAAAATGAAAAGAGACCGAGGATGTAGCTCTTCTTCAGAGCACTTGCCCGGCATGTGGGAGGACCATGGGAGCAGTCCTCAGGACTAGATAGAGACTCCATCAGGGATGAAATATCATGGAGACTTCTTTGTTATCTTGCTGTGGTATATGACTGACAACTCACTAGTTTGAAGCAGCTGTGGGTGGAGCCATAGATTCATCTCCACTCTCTCATTGTGGTTGAGCAGACATTCTGATAACCCCTCCTTCTGTGTCGTAAGAGAACTTGATAGAAAATGGCCCAATAATCTTTCCAAATGTGTAACTGGGGCAGAAAGCAAAAAACAGCCAAGCACCACAGAGGAAAAGAAAGAAAGACCCACACTCTAGCAAGAATTATGCTTCCTGAAGGAATTTGGCATTAGCAGAATCCCAGAACCTTGAGCTTAAGGCTGTGGGGCTCAGGAAGACCTTGCTCTTTAAAACAGTTTTTTAGGCCAGGTGGTGGTACATGAGGCCAGCCCAGTCTACAGAGTGAGTTCCAGGTCAGCCAGAGCTGCACAGGAAAAGCCTGTCTCAAAAAACAAACAACGGGCGGTGGTGGCTCACACCTTTAATCCCTGCAGGCGGATCTCTGTGAGTTCGAGGCCAGCCTGGGCTAGTTCCAGGTCAGGAATCAAAAGCTACGGAGAAACCCTGTCTCGAAAATCAAAACAAAAACAAAACAAAACAAAAACAAAAACAAAAAAACAACAGCAACAACAACAAAATCAAACCAACTGTTTTAAACATTTTTTTATTTTACTTCATGTGATAAGTGTTTTTTACCTGTATGTATGTGTGTGTGCAACACATTTGTATAGAGCTTGTGGAAGTTAGAAGAGGGTGTTGATTCTCCCGGAACTGGAGTTATAGATGGTTATGAGCCACCATTGGTGTCTGGAAACCAAACCCAGGTTGTCTGAAAGAGCGGCCAATGCTCTTAAACACTGAGCCATCTCTCCAGCCCCAGCCTTTTTTCTTTAAATGGTGGCTGAGCCACTCCCTGCCACATCCCACTCCTGGCACAATGGCCGAATCGTCAAAGGGTGACATGCTCAGTAGAGACTAGGGCAGAAAAACAAAAGCCATTAATCACGGTTAGAAGTCTGGCTTCTTCTCTGGGTGCACGCAAGTTCTCTAAACAGTATAGCTTTCTCACTCTCGCCCCCCTTTGGACATTGTTCTTGCACTGTGTAGGATTCAGGAACCCTAAGGTGAGGAATAATTAGCTTCCAGCTCTTCACTGGTCATCGTCTTGCAAAACAGAATAAAACAAAGTTCAAATCCTCTCTTGTAAAATGTCCCACAACTCCAAATCTCAATTACACACAGCTTACTAATTCTCCCAATGACTGTCTTTGGGAATTTGCTCAGCCTGAGAGCATAAGACGCCAGGAGAAAGGGGAACAAAGGGGCCTTTTTAGATGACTCATAGAGATGACTCAATGATTGAATGTAGGGGTCTCTGCATCCACCATGGCGAGCAGAGCAATGAGCCATTGGAGACAGAAGGCAATTTGGTACAACATGGCTAAGTAACTGGTGTTGATTCAAACTTCAGGAGTTTGACCCTAAGTAGTTTATTTTAGGCATATTTAAACAGTGCCATTTGGTGATAACATCCCTGATGATAATTAATCCCATGTGCTCAATAAGCATTTATAAATCTCCGTGAAGAACAAAGTATGTCATCTGCTGTAATAAGCTAAATAAAGATCAGACATGACTGCATCTTTGTAAAGTACACATGACACCTTCCATAAAGATAGGCCCCATGGATTGACTGAGAAAAACAAACTCATGATAAGGGCCTGGGAATGGATTCATTGTGGTCTTGGTCATACAGATAGTGCAAAGGTCACCAGACCATTAACCTCTGCTCTGAGCCTTCTGGACAGATGACAGGTTATGCATCCCTTCCTTTAAAGGCACGGCTCTGTGTGTTTAACATTCCTGGTTCCCTAGTGCTTATCTGTGAACACACAAACCTCCACACCTCCTATAATTTGAAGGCCTTACTGCTCTCGCAGAGGACCTGGGTTTGGCTTTCAGCATCCACATTGAGCATCTTACGACCATCTATATAACTCCAGTTCCAGGGCATCTGGCACCATCTTCTGGCATCTGTGAGATCCTGCATGTACACAGTGTACATACAGACAAGCAGGCACACATAAATTATAAGTAAATTAATAATAATAATAATAATAATAAATAATTTAGGTATTTATTTTAACGTCTAGAAAGGCCCATGCTATATAAAATGGAATGCATATAACACTAAATATCATAAATAAGTAGGCCAGATTGAAAAGGCATTGGAAGTTAAGAAAAGTAAGACTTCAGTTAGATAGAGAGGGCCATGTTACATTACTGGCTGACAGAGAACTTGTCCAGATATTGAAGAATGCCATTGTCTCCATCTTATGCCATTATGCATAAACTGGGTGTTTTCATGTGCCAGATACTGAGACAAGCCCTGGGAGAGATAAATGAGACTGGGGACTGTCTCTACTGACTCTTCTCGGTTAGTAAAACAGAATGACCCACAGGCTAGAGAGAGGGCTTAGTTCCAAGCATACACTGTTCTTGCCGAGGAGCCAAGTTTAAGTTCAGTTCACATCACCCAGCTTAGGTGGTTCAGAACCAGCAGCGGCTACAGCTCCGTGGTGCCTTGTGCCCTCTTCTGGGCTCTGCAGGTAACTGCACTACCAAGCGCATACACAGACACTCATGGGTCCACATCATTTTTAAAATTTTAAATAAATGTTCAAGTATAGAATAAAGAGGTAATTGTAAATCACTGAGAGATCAAGTGCAATCAATATACCGAGCAGCATATGGACTCAGACTTGAAACTATGAATGGTTTAGGTGACATTTTGGCTAGCACTCAGTCAAAGAGGAATTTATTTATTAATAGCCAGAGGTTATTTTCACATAAATATGTGAACCTACCCTAAAAATAAATGTCATAAATTCCTAGGGGTGTTTGAGGAAGGTTTGTTTATATCAGAACATCTTGACAACCTGTATGTCTTGGCTACTCATGCTGTGAATTCACATTTTCAATAACACCGTCTTTAGAGAGAGAAGTCAACGGCAGGCAAGCATGCTACAAATACAGCCTCCCAGCAAACACACTCCTATGTCCCAAAAACATCGACGTGTTTTGCCACTTTTCCAACGCGGCCAACACCTCGGTCCGGAGCCCGGCGATGAAGCTCACCCTTGTTCGGGGTAAGTGCATTTCAATTTCGCTAAAATCATACAGTCATGACCAGGGACTCCTCATTCCTTTCCTCCATTTGGATAGTCAGTAAAATACATTCCCTGTGTCGTGCCTTGGGTAAACCATAGGGAATACTAAAAGAAGTCGAGGCCATGTTCTCCTGCCTCTGGCCTAGGGGTGAGATGGAGAGATGGTTAAAGGTGTGGTCAAAGCTGCTGAGACAACCATAAAGAACTACTCTGGGTGGCCAGAGGCTGCTTGGTTGAACTCTCCTGCTGACAGTGGAGGGCATCTTGGGAGATGAAGTCATTCTGGGGTTGGATCAGAAGCTTAAGTGGTTTGTGAGGCAGACTGGAGTGGGCCGTGCCTGTGTCTCACTGAGATTCCTTGGGGCTAATGTCAAGGGGGTGTGTCCTCACAAGCACCCCTCTCCTGAGATGGAGCCATTTGAAAGGAAGAACAGGTGCCTGCCTTCTCCATCCTCTGTCACCACTGAGCCAGTGTGACCTGGCATATTCTCAAAGGGAAAGGTCATGGTCATGTCCTGTGGGACTATTTCTATGTGAGCTCATGTAGAAGTCACCGGGTGACCAGAGAGGCAGAGTGATAAAGATGATTTCCTGGGAACAGGATCCCTTATAGACAAAGGCTCCCTAATTCTTCCACCTAGTTGGTTTACTAAATACCCGTGGACATTCTTGCCCTTATTGGTATCTGGGACCTGCCCATAAAGTAGGAAGGCATTATGACCTTAAGACCCTTGGCAGACAGGGTAGTCTCTTAATTGAATGAGCATACATTAAGTTCTTGGTGTTTTCCATGGTTTAGATTTCATCTGCATATAAAATGAGAGTCCTGGGAATGAGAGGTGGGAACGGATCACAGTGGAAAGTGACTGCAGATTGGCTGTGGGGTGAAAGCAATTAGGGGCTTTGGAAAGCCAGGAACAAAAGGAAGGTGTTTAGTTCTCGCCGGGCCACTGGGAGCAAAGGCAGTGTGAACTCTAGCACCAAAAGCTGCTCAGCCTGATCCTGATTTCTTCTTCCTTGTTCCTGTAAACTGTCTCTTTTGAAAATCCTTATACATTTCTTTAATAATCTTGACAGGGGGCAGGGCAGGCAGGTTAAGCTATCTCCTGCCATCCACAGTAGCTCTGATTGTGTTGATCGCGGCAGCTGAGACAGCATTTTCCCTCACATGCACAAGGCCGTAACCATCAGGGAAACAAACCTACAGCCAGATGATTTTACAGCTGGGAAGGGTTTCTGAGCAGAAACTGCCCACCTATGGCTCCGTGCTGGTGCTTGGAAATATTCAGAATCCCGAGTGACTTGGGGTTCAAAGTTTCAAATTGAAAGTGCCAACTTCTTTTTAAAAGTCACATACAGTCCCTAACCACTGGTTTTGAATTTTCTGTGTCATTTTGAATGTCGCTGTAAGTTTCCACTGTGCACTGCACTGTATAACAAGAGGACAGCTTCATACAAGTGTGTAGTGTATACTGAGTATACCCCAACTCTTAGCCTCCCTCCTCTCCTCCTTCTCCCCCTCCCCGAATAGTCCTTTCTGTTCCCCTGGATTATTTCATCTCTGCATTCATGCATTCATTATATATATGAATTTATGATTTTATGAATCTATATACAACATACAAATGAGAGACAACACACAGTACTTGTCTGAGAATGGCTTTAATGTTCTTAGTATGGTCATCTCTAGTTGCATCCGTTTACCCACAAACAATGTAACTTCATTCTTCTTTTGACGGACAGAAATCCCTGACTGTCCCTTGTGTTTCCATCTCTCTGATACAGGGGAGAATATCACATGTCGGGATCCTGTGATTGGTATTGGAGAGCCTGGGAAGGTCATTCAGAAGCTGTGCCAATTCTCAAAAGTTTCCAGAAGCCCTGGCCAGATCATCGGTGGGATCGTCACTTACAAATGTGTGGGCTCCCAGTGGAAGGAGGAGAAAAGAGCCTGCATCTCAGCTCCAATCAACAGTTTGCTCCAGCTAGCCAAGGTGAGAAACCTGCAACCCTCGACTCTAAGCCATTGAGGAGGGCTATCTCTCTGTGGCTCAGCAGAATTCTCTGCACTTAGGAAAGTTGGCCATGCACCTCTCCAAAATGCATGGCCAAAATATGCTGTATTGGCTACTTTTCTAGCTACTGTACCATAAACATGACAAAGGCAAGTTAAGGAAGGAAATGTTGTTTTAGCTCCCAACTGGAGGGTGAAGTCCATGATGGCAGGGAAGGCATGGATGCAGGAGCACGGGGAGGCTGGTCACATGGCATCCATAGTCAGGAGGCTGAGACAGAAGATGCTGGTGCTCACCTGCTTTTACCTTTTCATGCAGCCCAGGCCGCAGACCCAGAGAATGGGAGCATCCACCTTTACAGTGGCCCTTCCCACTTTACCCCAGACTAGAAACTCCCCCTTAGATATGCCCAGAAGTTTGTTTCCACTGTTATTCTAAATCCCAGCAAGGTGACACTCAAGATTAACCATTCAAAAAATGAAACCTAGAAGTGCTTTAAAAACCACTTACATTTTAATATGATGGCAACAAAGTGTGTGTTGTGTTTCGGGATCACCTGGATGTCTGACCTCAACTGCTCAGCTTCCCATGTCCAAGACCTACAAGGGGTGTCGCATTATACGTCCTTAGTAATCTCTTTCAAATAGCTCTGATAGCGAATAGCTATAATAGTTTCATAAAGGGATGATATAAAAATAAGATTCAATAACATATCATCTAATTAGGAGAGTATTGAAAATGAACAACACAATGACATTGGTGGAGATGTCCCAGTATAAACTATTTAAAATAAAATAAATACCTGTGTGTTCACAGAAGAGAAACTCATCAAAGGCTTCTTATAGGAGACAGATTTTTTTCCCAGTGAATTCTTTTTAAAGTGTTGGAAATGCCGATAGTTAGGAAGCAGATGTATACAGATAGATGATATGATATAATCTGATGTCTTAGTCAAGATACTCCAGGAATAAAAGGAGACAACTTTTTTTATTTTATAATAGCATTTTTATTATTAAAATATAATCACAAAATTCTGCCCCATTCTCTTGCCTTTCTCCAATTTTTTTCAATGCCTCACATTCCCCTTTTCTCTTTATATGTTTATGCATACACACATACATACACGCAACCTTCTCAATCCCTTCACTGTTGCTTGTATGTGTATGACTTCAGAGCTTACCACTTGATACTGGATGACTGTTTAGGAAACTCATCTCTTGGGTAGACTACTTCCTCTTCTCTCAGTGTTTCTTAGTTGCCTGTAGTTCTTTGTCCAGGGTTGGGAACTCCATGAGATTTCCCCTTTACATGTCAGCATGTCTACTGTTGTCCTTGTGCAGGTCTTGTTGTGGCAGCCATATGACTGAGGTACCATGGGTGAAGCTGCCTTTGTCCTTTCTAGGAGACACAGCCTCACAGCTGAGTTCCAAGTCCCCTGGCTCTTAGAATCCTTCCATCTCTTCTTCCTCAGTGTTTCCTGAGCCTTGAGCACAGGAGTGGTGTTGTAGATGTATCTACTGGGCTGGATGCCCCGTGATCTTTCATTCTCTGTGTTTTGACCAGTTGTGGGCTTCCATGATGGTTTCTGTCTATTTCAAAGAGAAGTTTTGTTGATGAGGGTTGGAAATTACACTTATCTGTGGATATATGGGTATGAATTTAAAATGCAGTTAGGAATTATGTGGTTTAGTGAAGTGGTGGTCTATGGTTCTTCTCTAAGATCCATGACCTCACTAGCCCCAGGGAGTTGACTAGGTTTCTAGCAGCAGGCATGATTTCCAATTTCCTTCCTGTTGAATTAGCCATCATTCCAATTAGATAATAATTGGTTACTGTCAAGATGGGAGTGCCATTATTGCAACCATCTTGCCATCTTGGTCTCTTCTGAGGGCCATAGGCTTCACATGAGACTGCAGTTGGCTTCACTCCCTTGCACCTTGCATCGTATGTACTTCTTTTGTTTAAATCTCAGGACTATGAAAGTAAAAGAGGGCACTCTTAATAATTATATTGAGATAACAGATATAGAACAATGAAATAGGAGGGACAATCATATTCCCACTCAGAAGTATCAGTAGTACAGGGGGAAAAGACCAGTAGATGTGTTTCCATGTGGACAATAACAAGTTTATTTTACTTTAACTCTGAAGCAATCACATATTGTTCCTTTGTTTCTAGTTAGATTTCAGGTGGCATATGTTTAGCCCTTGGCTCTCTATGCATGTAATCTTAATCTTTTTCCATCCTGAGAGGCATGCACGGATAGTTTAAGGGGTGAAGGCTTTAACTTACAGTATATACTATTGATTATGGGCATTGAGAAAAAAGGAGAGCACAACTCCAAGATCACCAGGATCAAAATATCTTCATTTATTCTGGCATTTTTTAAACTAGGCTTTGATCAAGAGCCCCTCCCAGGACCAGAAGCTCCCTGCGTACCTGAGGGACCTTTCCGTTAGTGCTGGGAAGGAGGAATGGGATATCCGCTCCTCTCCAGGAAGCCTGGGCGCCGTCATCAGCATCCTTGATTTGCTTTCAACAGTTCCAACCCAAGTGAATTCGGAAATGATGAGGGTAAGTGTACTTAAGTCCTGTGGGAGTTTGAGGGGTCTTGCTTTCCCACACCTCTGGACTTGTGTTCAAGAAGCATTCCTTCTTCCCATGCAGACGCATGTTCAAGAGCACTGATTTGGATAGGAGGCTAGCACAGATGCTTTGCAGGCTGCAGCTTCTAGATCGGGGGTTCTCGATGTCTTTAAAGAATCTGTTTTCATTTCTTCATTTAAATAGAATGAATTCCTACTAGTTTTTAGGAATTAAAACAGTTACAAAATATGTGCCCGGCTACAAAATATGTGCAAGGTGGGTATGATGGTGTCAGCTTGGCACCTAGGAGGCAGGACAATTGGCACACTTCTCTCTGAAGAGAGAAGGTATATGAGACTGCTTTCATTAAAATAATTAATATAGGAAATTTCATATTATTTGTGTGTGGCATCATTCCCTAGGCTGGGGTTCCTGGGTTACAGCATGCATGTGTTAATCCATTGCACTCTGCTCTTGACCATGGATATAGTGTGTGTCCAATTCTCTTAAAATCCTGCCACTGCCACTTCTATGTCACAGCAGGCTGTAATCTGAAATTGTGGGCCCCAACATAGTTCATTTGATGCTCAGGGCTAGAGTATTTCTTCTGAGACTTTGCTGGTGACATGCCACCTACCATAAAGCCTTCACAGGTTTATGATTTTTTTTTTTTTAAAAAAAGTCACGGGGCTGGAGAGATGGCTCAGTGGTTAAGAGCATTGCCTGCTCTTCCGAAGGTCCTGAGTTCAATTCCCGGCAACCACATGGTGGTTCACAACCATCTGTAATGAGGTCTGGTGCCCTCTTCTGGCCTGCAGACAATATATATATATATATATTGTCTGGGCCAAGGGTCTGGGGAGATGTTTGTATAGTATTTATCAAGCAAGCATGAGAGTCTGAGTTCAGTCTTTAGAACCCATGTTGAAAATCTGGGCACAGGGCTTGACTCCCAGTGCTGGGGAAGCAACAGGAGGATCCTTGGAGTATACCAGCCATGTAACCACACTGAATCAGTGAGCTCCACATTCAGTGAGAAACCCTGTAGCAGGCATGAAGGAGACCCAGTGTTAATCTCTGACCTCAGTATCTTCATGTACACATGCATATGTGCACCCATAGACACACATGAACATGCATACATATACGAAAATAAAAGAACAAAGAAAGAAAGGAAGAGAGGGAGGGAAAAGGGAGGGAGGGAGGGAGGGAGGGAGGAAGGAAGGAAGGAAGGAAGGAAGGAAGGAAGGAAGGAAGGAAGGAAGGAAGGAAGGAATTACTACCCAGCCAGCTAAGCAGGTCTTAGTAGTGAGGGGAGAGATTCTCACAGTCATTGTTACTAAACGCTCAGCAAAGTCCCGCAGCCTTATGGTCCCTGCCTCTGCCATGTTCCGTTGTGAGAAAGGAGGGGACAGATGTGCTTGTGGCACATCAGATTCTCTGCTCCCCACCCTTACTTATCTACCCCAACCAGTACTCAGAAAAATGTTATTTTGTCTCTTATCTTAAAAAGTGGTTTGGTTTCCCCCCCCCTCCTTCCGTGTCACCTGCAGGATGTGCTTGCCACCATTAACGTCATCTTAGACAAGTCCACCTTGAAGTCCTGGGAGAGGTTACTGCAGCAACAGAGCAACCAGAGCTCCCAGTTCCTGCATTCGGTGGAAAGGTTTACCAAAGCGCTGCGGTTGGGAGACAACACCCCTCCGTTCCTCTTCCACCCTAACGTTCAGATGAAGAGCATGGTGGTACGACGTGGCCACCCTCAGATCTACCAGCAGAAGTTTGTCTTCTCAGACTCTGACTTGTGGGGCGACGTCGCCATTGATGAGTGTCAGCTGGGAAACTTGCAGCCCGACTCATCCATTGTCACCGTGGCCTTCCCGACTCTCAAAGCTATCCTCGCCAAGGATGGACAGGAAAAGGCGTCTTCCAACAGCTTGGTGATGACCACTACTGTCAGCCACAGTATCATCAAGCCCTTTAAGATTTCCATGACTTTCAAGAACAACCATCGTTCAGGTGGCAAGCCACAGTGTGTCTTCTGGAACTTCAGCCTCGCCAACTACACAGGGGGCTGGGACAGCAGTGGGTGTTCTATGGAGGAGGATGGCAGGGACAATGGGGACAGGGTCTTCTGCAAGTGTACCCACCTGACATCATTCTCCATCCTCATGTCCCCAGACTCCCCAGATCCAGGATCTCTCCTAAAAGTCCTTCTGGATATCATTTCTTACATTGGGCTGGGCTTTTCCATCTTCAGCTTAGCGGCCTGTATAGTTGTGGAAGCCATGGTGTGGAAATCGGTGACCAAGAACCGAACTTCCTATATGCGCCACATGTGTATAGTCAACATCGCTTTCTGCCTTCTGATTGCCGACATCTGGTTCATTGTGGCTAGTGCGATCCATGACGGTCACTACCCACTCAACGAAACAGCCTGCGTGGCCGCCACCTTCTTCATTCACTTCTTCTACCTCAGTGTCTTCTTCTGGATGCTAACGCTGGGCCTCATGCTCTTCTACCGTCTGATCTTCATTCTTCATGACGCCAGCAAGTCCACCCAGAAAGCCATTGCCTTTTCCCTCGGCTACGGCTGCCCCCTCCTTATCTCATCCATCACAGTGGGGGTGACGCAGCCCCAGGAAGTCTACATGAGGAAGAATGCATGCTGGCTCAACTGGGAGGACACCAGAGCACTCCTGGCTTTTGCCATCCCAGCTCTGGTTATTGTGGTGGTGAACGTGAGCATCACAGTTGTGGTCATCACCAAGATCCTGAGGCCTTCTGTCGGAGACAAGCCCGGCAAGCAGGAGAAGAGCAGCCTGTTTCAGATCAGCAAGAGCATCGGGGTCCTCACGCCTCTCTTAGGGCTCACTTGGGGATTCGGTCTCGCCACAGTGATCCAGGGGAGTAGTGCCGTGTTCCACATCATCTTCACCCTGCTCAATGCCTTCCAGGTAAGCCAGAGAGCCAAGCACCAGCATCTCAGGAAATGCCCTTTCTCGTGGGATGAACTAATGATAGAAACACAAACAAGAGGAGGAATGGGGAAGGGTTTGAACACACAGAAGGTAGAAGTGTCAGGAAGCAGTAATTACAAGCACTCAAGGAGACTAAGGGACACAATCCTCTGCCTCCATGAAACCTTGAACCTTTTATCACCTATGTTATAACTTGGTCCCAAATGTCCCCATAGTACAATTAGGAGGCGAGTCATCATTCTAAACTAGATGTTGCTGTTTACTCAAGATAATCTTTCCCTAGTCTTATCTCCTACGTAAGAAGGGCACTGCCACTAAGTCAAGTCACGGCTCCACTTAGTCTCTGCTCACATCAGCGAGCTGAGTCTTCCTGTGGGTCACTGTATCTCCCTGTTTAATAAAGACCTTGGTCCAAGGTCTATTCTCAAAAGTCAGTTGAAGGAAATAGATACTGGGTACCACATAGTTCCTCAGGAAAGATAGGTTGAATAATGAACACCCTGTACATACCAATCTATTTTATTCTGTTCAGCTGAAGACATTTCTTCTCTTTCCTGTGGTACCTAGTCACTTACAGCGGAGGCCAGTTTGTTAGATGAGCTGTAAGAGAAAGATGGATGCCATGAAGCATCTTGCTCCTGGATGCTTGTGGCAAAACCATACGAATCCCAACACCTACCAATCATGTGTTGTGGGCCTCAAGCTTCTTACCTAATGGTTTTCAAGTCATACTTCCATGGAAAAAAATGTCTCATCCCACGATGGTCTTCACAACTTAGGGGTGTAAATGAGGAATAACGTAGATTAAAGAAGTGTATTAGCATAGCCCTGTCCACGGTTGGAGGGAAAATAGGAATTATTTCCCTAGTATCCGTCATTTAAGGCTCCCCACTGGGTCACTGCTGTGTCCCTTCATGTCCTGGACTTGTCATATCCACTCAGATGGGGTAGAAGGTGGGGGCCAACTCAACACCTGCTGCTGGATGCTTTCTGGGGAACTGGGTGATGACGTGCCATTAAAATCAGTCCTTAATCCTTCCCACAGGGGCTCTTCATTTTACTCTTCGGCTGCCTCTGGGATCAGAAGGTAAGAACAATGATAGCCCTTCTTTCTGGCAATGTCTAGCCTGCCAAAAGCAGCCTATTGAACTGACACTGGTGTCTTTTAAACCATGCAGGTGCAGGAAGCTTTGCTGAATAAGTTTTCATTGTCAAGATGGTCTTCTCAGCACTCGAAGGTAAGCCTGGTCCTGAAGAGGCTTCCTGTTTCATACATGGACTCCATGAGTGCGATACCTGGAAGGACCGTGATCAGCTGGGTGAAATATAAGCAAAACATCTGCTTCCATGACTAATTTCAGCACAGATTATATAATGAGTGCTGCTTCTTGCCAGTCTTCTGGTTCAGTGTGCTGTGCATGTCTCTTTAAGATGTGACTCCACAGCTCTCGATGGCAGATCACCTGACGGGGGCATCTCAGTCAGAGCAGTGGCACATAACTGTAATTCCAGCACTCAGTAGGATCTCCATAAGCTGGAGGCTAGCCTGGGCTACTGAGAAAGTAACTCCGGGGCAACTAGGTCTGCATAGTGAGACCCAAAATCAACAGCAACATTATAGAGCTCTTTAGGGAAAAATCAAATTCTCAGTGAGAAGCTTCTGGGTAGAATTCAAGGAATTAGAAGATAACAATGTAAGAAATAATAATGAAATTTTTTATGGTTCATTCTTTTAGATTGTAACTGTTCTCCTTCAATATGATTGGCTATCTTTTGTATGTCAAAATATGCTAGAAAAACTAACAGTAAAGTTAAAGTAAAAAAAATGTTCACAAAACAGTAAGACATGCATTTAAAAAAGGATACAACTTAACTTGTGATTCATGTATAAAAAGAGCTAAACTGGTTCCTTAGCAAAGAAAACTAAAATAGAGAGGGGGAGGGGAGGGAAGGACAAATGCAAGAAAGGGGGAAGGGGGAAGAAGGAAGAAAGAAGGTGGAGCAGGTAAAGAGAAAAAGGGAGGGAGGGAAGGAGGGGGAAATGAAGGAGGGAAAGGAGAGGAGGGGAAGAAAGAGTGATAACATAACTCATATATATTTGCAAACTATTTGTTCAGTTCAGGGAGTACCACTTGACCTAAGGAAGGGATAGGATTAGACACCCAGGAAAGTGACCACTAGAAGGCAGCAAGTTGACTCCCCCCCCCACACACACACAAAGGGAGCCAAATAGCTCTGGTCTCCAGGACTTGTTTGTTGACTGTCTTTTCCCTCTTTCTCCTAGTCAACATCCCTGGGTTCATCTACACCCGTATTTTCTATGAGTTCTCCGATATCCAGAAGATTTAATAATCTTTTTGGTAAAACAGGTATGTAGTGATTACCAGGTGCTCCCAGGTGGACCAGATCACACTGGCCCTGACCTAGCACCCCGACTTCCACCCCCACTTTGTGGCACGGATCTAAACAACCGTGTTTAGGGGGAGATGTTGAATTCAGGAATTTGCTTATATGTTCACAAGCGACCAGGAGCTTGCTAAAGAAGTGCAGCCTCTCTCAATGGCAACTAATGTAAATTCGTGAAGGTTTTCAGAAACTTGAGCATCCTCAGAGGTCTGTCTGTCCAATGTGAGCAGTGTCTGCAAGCTTCTGGGCTTGTGTAACATGGAATCCTTTTTATCATGTTAAGTAGACACATCACTTTTCTGTGTCACGCAAAAAATAAACATGGAAAATCAGATTGTAGGATTCAACTCAGCATTGCTCCTCCCACTCACAGAGAACACTGACTTTACGCATTATCATTTACAAACCGGGTATACATATGTGAGGCACTGTCCAAGCTGGATATCCTATTGGCTAATCATAAGTTCTACCTGGGAAATAGGGAATAAATAGTGCTAATGACTTCAGAACTGGTCTCAGCTAATCAGAATTAAATCCAATCCCAACCACTGCCTCCCACAGCACAGTCCCATCATGCCCTGACAAGACAGCCCATCACAGTCTGCCCCACGGGACAGCCCATCACAGTCTGCCCCACGGGAACCATCCCATCGCTCCACCCCCATGGAGCAGTCCCGTTACACTGCCCCTCACAACACATTCTTGTCACACTGTCTCTCCTACAAGAAAATGGCTACCCAAATGCTTTCCTGTTCATTTTTGCTCTTCTCCATGTTATGTTAGGGATCAGGTTCTCAGGTGTGCTAGGCGAGCACTCTGCCATTGAGCTGCCTCTCAGCCCCATGTTCATCTCTTCAGAACCAGACAGACCTCACAGATGCAGCCGTAGCCTGTGTCCACGTCCAGACCCTGGCTGTCACACATTTGCCATCAAACATACCTGAATCTGAGCGTTCTGAGTGGGCCATGGGGACCAAGTCTCTGGATATAGTGGAGAATTGGGGAACCGTTCCAGAGCTAGAGAATTGTCCCTTTTCACTTGGGATGCCACTGATTTGAGCTCACATGAAATGATAAAATCTTTGGACTTCATAAGCATTTGGCATTTCCAAGAAGTGATCAGAAGTTAAGTAATCTACTGAATCTGAACTTTGCAAAATATCAGGCCAATAGAATACACTCTTTATTTGCGAACCATCCAGACCTAAGTTGGGAATGTGGGTTTTGTTCCTGGGGTGTCAGGGCCTGAGATTCCCGGTCACTGCTGTTGGATACTCTTGCGTGGGCCATCAGTACAGCTCTACTCTGGATAAGATTTTGGGGGGGGGGGCTAATTACTGTAACTTTGATTTATGTTGTCAGCAGCCCCAAAGGTCCCCCCAGGCAATGATGGAAACCCTGTTAGCAGTGGCAGTTCATCATCCTGATGGTAGGGTAGTCACTCTGATGCTTCCCTTGCCCAGTGTATGTTCTGTATGCCCCCTGCGCACAGTGCCTGCCGTCTACCCACACAAGGCTGAGCTGTTCCACCAGCTGCCCTCCCTCTGTGCTGGTCCTTGGTACTTCTGTTGGTATCTCTCACTTTTTCCCACCCTGCCTCTTCCTCCCTTAGAGTTAGTCTTCTCTTCCCTTTCCTTCCATGTATGAACCTTCAGCTCAACGGTTAGCTCCTTCCTATGAACTTCCCTAAGTCAAGATAAACAAGGGGACCAGGAAGTTCCCCTCATGTAGAAGCCCTCAGGGCCATGCATGTGGGCACTTAGGAAGAGGCTGCCCACGTTGAGGTCTGGCTGTTCAGTGTGGAAACCTGGCTGCTGGTGTATTGTGAAGTAGTTAGTGCTTGGTGGCTGCCGTGCATGCTTGAGGACATCACTCTCTCGTTGGTTCTCCGGCACGCTGGGCTAGGGAGGAGGGCAGGCCTGAGCCATTCCAGGCATGGCTGCTGGGCCAGAGCTCAACCTGTCTCCTCAGAAGATGTTTGCACGCCAAAGTGCATGGAAGTTTGTCTTGGAGGCTGAAATGCTGCTTTGCCTTTTGTTGCAGGAACATATAATGTTTCCACCCCAGAAACAACCAGTTCTTCTGTGGAAAACTCATCTAGTGCTTACTCGCTGCTCAACTAGGACCAGACAAAGCCAAATCCACAGGACCGCTCAGAAATGGGGCGTGTGCCGAGAAAAAGGGACCCATCCAAATCTGTGGGTAAAGTGTTCTCTCCGCAGACTTCTGCAGCAGACACTGAAGAGAGTCTTTCAGTATAGAAGACACTTTCTTCTGTAAGGACAGACTAAAGCAATTGCCGTGTTTATTTTTGTTCCCACCCCCATCCGTTGTGTAATGCCAACCATGTATAGTATTTAAAAGAAACCCCACAAGGCCCAACTTTTCTATATGTATTGTAAAATAGAATTTTGAAGAGAGTTTTTCAGCCCACCCTACCCTACCCCACCCATTGACTACAAAGGTCAGTGTTGACTGGAACTGTAAATAAAAGCAAGTACTCAGGAGTTCAGGGGATTCGAGGAAGAAGGAAAAGGCGGGAGGGAGGGAGGAAGGAAAGAGGGAGGGCGGGAGGGAAGGAAGGAGGGAGGGAGAAAAGGAAGGAAGGAAGGAAGGAAGGAAGGAAGGAAGGAAGGAAGGAAGGAAGAAATAATGACGTTGAAAACATTAGGGAGTACATTGTAAGGTTTCCACATCAAGGTCTAATACGATCATGCAGATGCCACAGCACTGAGGATGAAAATATATGGCTCAAAAATGGACAGTGAGGTCAAGTTATGGGGGGCAAGTGTAGCACATTCTTGATATTTCCCTAGTTAAAAGGGTAGAATCCAAGACAGAGGAGAAATGGGAAGGGCATCATGCCACGAGGATGCTTCTGGCTGGATGGTATTATCTATAAGCAATGCACCCAAGGAGACACCTGTCCTCATGACAAGGACATGCGTATGAACCTTTGCATGTCAAGGCCTGAGCCAAGATGGATGAACACATGTAGGAGATATGACAGCAACTCTATCAGATTCAAGTAAGGATTTACTCTCATGGTTTGTCAGAAAAGCACTGTGTGTTACTTTGACATTTCAAAGGTAACACATGTATATGTATATATATATTATACCCAGTTGTTGACAAATCTGTTGTATTGCACTGGACTCAGACTCCGTATCTGTCTTACCTGTAACAGCTTTAACCAGGTACCTTCTGAGCATTATAGAATAGACTTTAATGACTGTGTAGCATGTACATTTCTGTGATTGCAGTTGTGACGTCATCATGGCTGTGGCGATGATGGCCCTTGGTGTGCTGTACAGCTAGCTGTGTGCTGTCAGTTGCCAGGCTTCTAAGTGCCCAGGCCAGTATACATCAGAGCTCCTCTGGTCTGTTCAGGGTTCATGACAGCCACTTGGACGGCTCCTGGAGGATGAGCGTACTCGAGGCTCTTCTGTGCCCCCAGCCACACTTCACTTTGATAAGCAGATGGCAGACTTCCCCCCAAAGGATTAGTTTGTGAATTCACGCCCGTGTGGTTTTTGTATGTGTGTCTCTCAAAAATACAGATATTTATTGAAACTGCATCCATGTTAGAACACACCATGTTCAGTACCCCAGAGAAATCATACATGCATGTTCATACATGTCCCCCGGGGAATCGCAGAGGAACAGTGGCCATAAGGACAGGGTCTTCGTGAATTTCTCCTTGCTGTAGGAAGACACTGTATCAAAAGGAACTTCAGGGAGGTGAGGTTTGTTTTAGCTTCTACTTTTCCGAGCACAGTTGGGAACATGAAGCCAGCCCACCACACTGCCTTGGCGGTGGGGGAATAAAGAACAGGAAGTGGGACAAGTCTGTGACCACTCACAGCCCTCCCCCAGTGACACACTTCCTCTAGCCAGGCTCCGCCTCCTACAGGTTCTCTAATCTTCCCAAACAGCACCAACAACAAGGTGGGAGGGGTGGGGCAAGGGTTCAAATACAGGAGCCCATAGGGGACATTTCACGTTCAACAACAAACAGCAGGCTCTTCAGGGTGGGTGGGCAGAGTTGTTTTTTTTTTTATTTATTATGTATACAATGTTCTGTCTGTGTATGCCTGCAGGCCAGAAGAGGGCGCCAGACCTTGTTACAGATGGTTGTGAGCCACCATGTGGTTGCTGGGAATTGAACTCAGGACCTTTGGAAGAACAGGCAATGCTCTTAACTGCTGAGCCATCTCTCCAGCCCCCCAGTGTTGGGTTTTTAAGGAGTGAGAGCCGTTGTGTGCCCTTCATGAGAAAGACAGCAGAGAAGAGTCTGAGCTTGGGCCATGGCCCATTGACTTAGGTTCTGAAAGTTTTATTTTTAATATTTTAAAGACTTTAAAAACTCTTCCTCTTAGCTCTAAGCTTGAATTCTGCTTCTCTGTTCTTCACAGAGACAGAGAAATATGGGACAAAATTCCATCCATTGAGTTCTGTCTCTATACAAGTGTCACAGGCATCTGTTCCCACAGGCCTGTCCCAACCTAATGGCTCGTCATTTAAAGTCCTTACAGGAAACAAATGTTGATATGCAAACATGGGTGAGTTCTCCAGGGAGTCTCCCAAGCAGGACAGAGTTCAGTAGAGAGAAAACAGGGACCAGTCTAAATAAGGCATCCTTTGGGTTAGAATCGGTTGTTAGAGAAAGACCAGCTTGGACTCACTCAGCTCCTTGGAGCTCTGAGCAGGGCTACTGCACAGGATATAGCTCTGAGCAGGGCTACTGCAGTGCCTACAGCTCTGAGCAGGGCCACTGCAGTGCCTACAGCTCTGAGCAGGGCCACTGCAGTGCCTACAGCTCTGAGCAGGGCCACTGCACAGCATACAGCTCTGAGCAGGGCCACTGCACAGCATACAGCTCTGAGCAGGGCCACTGCAGTGCATACAGCTCTGAGCAGGGCCACCGCACAGCATGGCAGTGCAGCCTTGACTTCAGGGAGGCACAGCACCAGGCAAGGTGCAGAAGTCCGAAGAAGGCTGAACTTTGGCCCACTTCGCTGGTGCCCCTTGGGAGCCATTGGATTTGACCTTGTGAAGAAAACCTCTATAACAGCGTAATAGCAGGAACTTCCAGCCGAATTCCATAGGATGTGGCTCTGGCCCTCTGCCCGCGTTCATTCACAGGGACACGTTCCCTCGTTGCCAGCACGCATGCTCAGACTCTAACGAACACACAAATTCATACACAGACTCCACACTCTGACAGAGGCACACAGAAACGTGTGTGCACAGACATGCACACACACCTGCACACTCATATGGACACACATCAACACCCAAACACACAGGCACACCTGTACTGATGTTTTTGTGAGAACTGCCACATCTCTGCCCCAACTGAATGGCTCAGAATTCCCTAAAGGAAGTTTGTTAGTGTGTAAATGCAAGATTCAGCAGGGACCAACGTGTACGCATTCACACCAACCTGAGCACACACATACACATTCACACCAACATTGAGCACACACATACACATTCACACCAACCTGAGCACACACATACACATTCACACCAACATTGAGCACACACATACACATTCACACCAACATTGAGCACACACATACACATTCACACCAACATTGAGCACACACATACACATTCACACCAACCTGAGTACACACGGAGGCCCCTCAGTCTTTCAAGGCACAGCATTGGATTCCAGAAGATGCGGCTGGAGATATGGCTTGGTGGTTGAGAATGTGTACTGTTCTAACAGAGGAATTGCAAGTTCAGCTTTCAGCACCCACGTTGGGCCGCTCCCCACCACTTGTAATTCCAGCTGGAGGGAGTCTGCTGCCCTCCTCTTGACTTTGGGGGGCACTTACATGTGCCTATCCCCCTTCCTAACACATGTGTTTACACATAATTAAAGTTTCAAAACTAAATTCCAGAAGATGTATGTGACCAACGCTGAAGGCACACTTGGTGGTTTTCTGCTCACGGTCCCATGGTGTCATTTCTAAGCAATACTACAAAGTAAGCATAGTACCCAAAATTGCAAAAGATGGAAGCACACAGGTCTGTGTATGGCGTGAAAGCCAGAGCCTGCACCCAGTTCTACAGCAGCAGTGGGCACGAACTGTGGCAGAGGAGTGAGCAGTGACTTGGGCGCCATGTGAAGCCAGTTCACTTTGCTAAGAGAGCGCCCCCTCCTGCCCGCATTCTCCGTGTCTTTTATTGTGTATTGTAAATTCCTTGGGCTCCAGCTTTCTTTACATAATGGGCTTTCCATTAAGGCAGTTTCTTGCAAAAAGATCTGTGCTAATGTTTCAGGGGCTGTGGAATTAGAGGATCCAAAACCACACAGTTAATACACAACAATGTTGTCAGGGACTGCTCTAAGTGTCCCTCAGCATCTCTCAGGAAGAAATGAAGGAGCGCCGTGGGAAGCCAGAGCCTCTTGTAATTTGTGTGGGGCACTCCAGAGAGGTCTGCTACACTGAGATAAGAAAGAATACAGCAGTCAGTCAGCATGGAGGGAGACACGGGGGGCGAGGGGGGGGCGCTAGTCCCAGGCGAGTGGAGCAAAAAGTCGCATCCAGCTAGGAAGACAGAAGAAAATCACACGAGCTGTTTATGCAGAGAGAAAGTGTTTAATTGGTGGCATGTAGGAGTGCCGTGATAAGGGGCCCTTGCACCCCAAAGAGAGAGCCAGTGATCCAGGCCAATAGGAACCTGGTTCCTTGAGTATCCACAAGGGAGGAACCTAGAGCAGGCATCAATTTCTTACTTATTTTTAAGGACAAGAGAAATCGCATTTCTGTCGCAATCAGATGCCATGGGTTTCTAGAATTATGACTCAAGAGTTTAAAACCATGTCCTACTAATACGTCAGTGTATAGTGATGCTGTCTTTCCTGGTAATAAAACAGCTAATGATTCACCGAGCTTTCTTTGTATAACTTGTCCATTTGTCGGTCAGGTGCTGCTGCTGCTGCTGCTGCTGCTTCAGGTTCCCATGCCAACCAGAGCCCAATCCCACTCCCTGAGCACCCAGGGAGGTCTTCCATTTTCTGGCACGGACGATGCCAGAGGCTCGCAGCTGAGCTCAGGCAGGGCCAGCAGCTTTTGTCACGCCTTCCACACTCCCAGGAACGTTGTGAGCATCCAGCGCCACACTGGGAGTTCCAACAGCGTCCTTGAGGCAAAGCCATCAGGACCTAAGTATCTAGGACACAAATCAGCTCACGACTGTTCCTGACTGAAGCTAGATCCCTCATGCCCTATACATACCTTCTAGCACATTCTAGAAGGAGCTGAAGTTGGGAAGGCTTCCACTCCCTGTGCCTCTGGAGTGGGCAAAGGCCACAAAAAGAGGGCAGATGGGCCCAACGGCTGAAGTCCACTCTGATCAGACACCGGCTGTTTCTTTCCAAAGGCCATTGTAGGCTTTGCAGTGGCCATGAAGGGATTTTCCTCACAGTCAAAAATCCTATTTATGGAACCAATGGCAAGCTAAAATCAGAAGTGCCATAGTACACTTCTTCCAGACAGGCTGCTGAAAGGGATTTGAGGAAGCCAATAATTCGATTGACTCCTAATGCCACCCTAGGTAAACCGAGGAGTGAGAGTGTTCAAGACAGGACCCCCCCTTCACAAACAGGAAGGGCAGGAGCTGCGGGAACCAGTTCCCTCCTAGGGCTTTTATTCTTTAACTCAGATCCAAGTGGAGTGTGCTGGCAACCATTACAGAATAAACATAACCACCCCAGGAATCTAGGAGGGCTGCGGGGCTTCTTCTCAGCATGAAAGGCAACAGGAACCTACTGGGCAAGGCCTGGGGAGATTGCTGTCACAGCCCACTTCCGACAGCACTGGACAGCAGAGTCCACGTATGTCTTCACGCGTGACCCCTTTGGGAGAGACTTTGATAAGTGCCACGTTCTGTCCCCCTCCTGCCAATCAGCACCCGCCCCCTTCCGCCCCCGTAGTTGTGGAAAGAAGTGTTTGATTTTGATTAAGTGAGGAAAATTGTTACATCCATTTGCTGTTTTTTCTGGAACCGTGAGTGTTTTCCCATGCCCCGGGAGCTGTTTCACAGCTGTCTGAATCAGCATCCTTGCGGGCATCTCCAGCTGGGCTAATGAGGGGCAGCTGGCCTCAATTGCGAGCTCTCCAGGGCATGGCTTGTGTCTCCTGGAGCTTGATCGCCACCTGGTGGACATTAGCAGATGTGCCTTCTCTGTGGTTCTCAAAGCCTCAGTGTGGAGACTGACCTGTCCCAGGTGGACAACCCACAGTGATGTAACTTGGGTCACTTTAACAGGGCAAAGCCCTAGCTAGGCTGCAGAGGTGCAGAATGAAGGAATCACTCTCTCTCCCACCTCCTTCCATCGTGACACTATGATCTTGGCAGGGACGAGTCAGGAAACACACGGAAGTGTGGACACAGACATTTGAACTGTACTTAGGGAATTTGCAGGTGGGAGGACGCTTCTTATATATACATTGAGGACTGGCTCCCTTCTGCCTCTCATTTCCTCCATCACTACTGAAAGCTAATTTATATAGCCAATCAAAGCTAAAGGCGATTCTGGAAGTGATGACCCACTCAGCCCAATCCCCTTACCCTTGGGCAAGCAGGCATGCTAGTATCCTAACAGACTTCTGGAAGGTATTTAAGGAGGCAGAATGGAAGCCTTCCTTGTTTCATGAGAACAAGCTTTCTCTGCAAGTGAGGCTGTAAAACACAAAAAATTGCTTTGGATTCTCCATTTTCATGTTTTCGCCTACTGAGCAGTTGTATGCAGCCCTAAAGAAGAGTGTAATTTCTGTCATTTGGGGGAAGCAGATGGAATTAGAGATGGTTGTTATGAAAGATAAGCTTGACCCAGGAAAAGACACACATCTCCAAGCTTTAACACATACACACTCAAAAATACAAACATTTAGATTTAATAAGCATGTGCATGGGCGTGCACACACACATGTAAATAAAATGGAGGCTGTTGGTGGAGAGGAAGGTGTTGTAATTTTTAAAAAGTTATGTGGGAGAGAAAGGTTCCAAATGACAACTCATGTGAAGGGTTTTCTATTGGGGGAAAGTGTCTGGGAAAAGTGGGGAGAGGAGACCACCTCTGGGGACAGGAGCTACAGAAGAAAAGTGTGGAGGCCCAAAAATGTGAGCCTGTTTCCACCTTGCCTGTAGGTCAGAGAGTTTTAGCTCATTCAAAGTTGTTAACAAGTGTGGCTACACACCCGACCTAAGGTGTGCTTACTTGGTCTTTTTGGCATTAAGATGATCCATATAGGTAGATCCACTCCACCCAAATCAGTGGTCAGGATAGTCATGTATACTTCTGCTCCTTTTAAGATAAAGGGTTTGACCTTGGGAGTGGCTGCCTTCAGGTCTAGGGTGGGTTCACTGCCTACACAACAGAATGCTAATGACTTGATGTCTCAAAATATTGAAGCAAATAACTATTTTCTCTGTCCTTTGCGCCGTGTTAAAGCAGTCTTTTGCCTTCTCTCCCCCTGTTGTAGTGGTGTACGGGAAATTAAACACTGGCAGATCTCAGTATTCACTGACACTCCCTCCCAGTACTAACCTGTGTTTCTGTTTTATTATTTTCATTCACATCTTCGTTCTCTTTACTAATTTTTTAAACCACCTGAACCTACCCTGGTAAGTGATATTTTTGTCAAAGCTGGTCTCCGACAGAAAAGAGAGGAAGGGAGGGAGGGAAGGAGGGAGAGAAAAGGGGAGAGGGAGAGGGATGGAAGGTGGACAGGGCCCTTTTAAAAGGGAAAACAGGGAATGTTCATGGGAGGTGCGCTTATGGCTGCAGCTGAGGACATAACCTGTCAGGACCCCAAGGGCAGATGCCTAAATACTAACAGAAGAGAGAAGCAGGGAGCAGAAGTAGGGAGGAAGAAGAGGCCAATGGGGTGAATATGGCCAAAGTGCATGATAGCTTGTCTAGATGTCATTATCGGGGCTAGGTCATGGCTCAGCAGGTAAGAGAGCATACTGCCCTTCCAGAAAACTCAAGTCCAGTTCCCAGGACTCATTTCAAGCAACTCCCAAGCACCCAGAACACCAGTTCCAAGGGACACAGTGCCCTCTTCTGGCCTCTGTGAGCACCTGTACCCATATGTACACATATATGCATGCTTTTAAAAAAAATATCTTAAAATGTCATTATAAAACTTACCATTTTGTACAATGAATATACATTAATTGTTTTAAATTAGCCCGCTGAATCTTCTTAGCTGGGACGAATTTCCAGTTTTCAATCCAGCTGAATCCTCAGCTGTCCAGGGTTGTCTCTAGCCCAGCTAGCAGCTGGAGCCATATGGTAAGTTTCTCATCTAGCCTCTGGGCACACATTGCCAAAGCATGAGCCAAGAAGAGAAGAAGTAAACAGGGTCATCTGTTGAGAAGGTTGGTACTTGGAGCAGAGGGACAAACTGAATTGGCTTTATTTAATAGCTACCCAGTGTCTGGAGGGGGGTGATATCATATGCCTTGAGATGTTGCCCCCACACACCTCACACACATTGATCTCACATCTTTCTTCTTATGGTGGATATTTCTTCACCAAATAGCAAAATCTCAATCAGAGGCAATGCTTAATATGCAAGTCCTTCTCAGAGAGGCACACAAGAGCCATATATAGAATTGGTTGCTAAAACTACTACTACATTAAATAGTATTTATTGTTGTGGGATGCCCTTCTGTATGCTGTGACTATGTCTTATTACCATTGGTTAATAGAGAAGCTGATTTGGCCAATAGCCAAGCAGAATATAGTTAGGCAGGAAAGCCAAGCTAAATACAGGGAGAAAGAAGACAGAGTTGGGAGAGATGCCAGCAGTTGCAGGAGAAGCAAGATGTGAGGTAACAAGCCACGAGCCCTGTGGTCAAACATAAACTAATAGAAATGGGCTAAATTAAGTTGTAAGAGCTAGTTAATAATAAGCCTGAGCCATCGACCAAACAGTTTGTATTTAATATTAAGGCTCAGGGTGGTCATTTGGGAACTGGAGGGTGAGAGAGGGACCTCCAGTCACAACTTATTGATCCCCCTACTACCCCGGGCACCTGATTCTTTATGTCTGCAACCTGTTTGATCCTCTAGCAATCCAAAACTACTGTTGTTGCACCAGACCTGATGGCGTTGCTCAGGGGATTGTAGCATGTCTGTCTGGAACTGAAGCACTATCGAGTACTTGAAGCTACGTGGTTGCTCCATGGGAATGTAGAAGATGACACTGACAACAACGCAAATGGCAGAGGCCTGGTTTGTGACACGTCAAAAAGAGCAAAGACTTCATTCACTTCAGGACCTGTGCCAGCTAGTCTTATCTCAACTAGAGTCATCTTGGAAGATGGACTCTGAGTTGAGAAAATGCTTCCTAAAGATCTGGTTGAGGGCAAGCCTGAAGGGCATTGTCTTAATTGGTGGGAGGGCCCAGCCCATGGTGAGTGGAGCTGGCAGACAATAAGAGAGCAAGCTGAACAAATGAGGCAGAGAAAGCCAGCAAGCAGCACCCCTCCATGAACTCTGTCGGCTCCTGCCCCAACTTAGCTCAGCAATGGAGCGTGACCTGAAACTTACAAATGAAATTAATTTAACCCTCTCTTCCCCAAGTTGTTTCTGCCCATGGTGTTTTATCACACCAATGGAAACCCTAACTCGGGGCCATTTGTATGGTATATTTCAGTGTAAAAAACTGTGGTTTCTTGTCAGCTGTGCCTGAACAGTAAGCTACCACTAGCAAGGAACCAGGATTTCTGAAGTGAACCCTTCCTTTACTGAGACAACTGATGCTGGTCAGCTTGGGCTAAGAGACCAGCTGTTGTTGAAAAGGACATCACCGTGGCAAAATCTTCTCAGAGCATTTCCTTGGGGCCAACACACAAAGCTGTGGTCCAGAGGGGGCCAGGACATTTTATCTCATGCTGGCAATAAACTTGTTAATGTGTAAACATTTCCTAGGTCGTACTGGTT